GAGTTCTCTGGGGTTCTTTGGGACTGGACTGGTTGACTTTTTACAGCCATTTCGGTGGATGTTGCTGTTGGCAAACACCGGCCTTTGTGTGCGCTCCCAGCCGCGTTTTATTATAACTGTTGGCTGCTCGCATACGAGATAAATTTCATTTTAATACTTTCTTCGTTTTAGTTTTCGTATATTTTATTCTGTGCGGAGTGCGGGGAGAACGCGGGGCTTTTGAGGTCGGAAAGTGATTTGCATACGGGGCACCGTTCTCACGCGTTTACCACCGGAGATCATCCAGTCGAGTGCGAGAACAAGAACCCCAGAATCGTGGATCTCTGGATTCGAGGCTGACTGATCGCTCGACTTATGCAGCTAATACCGTTTTCTGAGCCCAGCTTCCAGCTTCAATAGCTGCCACTTCCACCGGCCATAAACATAAACAGGTGGCAATGTTCATTTGCATAGACAACGTTTCGATATTAAATTTCAAAGCGAACGACCAGCGTCAACGACATTCCGAAAACACTAAACAAAAACACCAACAAAACAACAAACCAAGGAGTTGTTGGACAAAAATAAACTAAATATTCAGATGGGCAGTGGCAATCCGAAAATGGCTCTTCGATTTGCTTCTGGTCCGCGGGTCTATGAGTGTTTTATCGGGTATGGAATACTTTTTGGTCAGAGAGCAACCATTTGTGAACTTGTTTCGTGTTTTAATCATCATCTGCGGCTTTCGGCAGCTGTCTTCAAATCGAAGCGAACCTGTAAATTATATATGTCGCGACAGATTCGGGCTTTTGTCTTCCGAACTGATAAGCTCAAATTATATGGTAATGGGGGCGAGAAGTCTGAATAAAATCCGTTCTTATTTTCATAGATTAATAAGCACTTGAATTTATTGTTCTATTTAGGTTGGATTTATAAGCAGAAACTGCGTTGGTTCAGAGTCTCAGTATCCTATTTGAAGAGTGAAGTAAATCTTAAACTATTCACGTAATATTTTAACCTTTTTATACCCCAAGATCTGTTATCTATCCCAATCTATATTCATGGCGATACAATAGCTTGTTACAATGTCAAATTAAATTAAGCTACTTCTTCGTTTTTCATCTTGATCTGCCGTTTACATTTATTAACTCTTAATTAAAGATAATCGCCATCGATTATTTATTTAAAATGCATAAAGTCCGCGACTTATGGCGTTACTCTGTATAATAGAGCGCCCTGTGGCTATGCAATTTGCTGGCCAATAAATTTCAATAAAACATTTGCATTAAACTAAATGAATGTAGCCACCCTCGCCACTCGCCACTGGAAGTACGGCAAACATTTCGTTTGCCATTTTTTATCATTTCACGTTATTTTGTTTTTTATTTGGCATAATATTGTGTTTGTTTTTTTGCATAAATTTAGCGGGCGGCAGTTGTGCAAACAGAACTCAGCACTCAGAACTCAGAGTCTGGGGAGAGAAAATCCCCAGCCGAAGTTCTCTTCATAAATCGCTGATAAATCGCCCGCAAGTATCTCAAATGATTTCGACACGCGTTTTTCTTGTTCTCTTGTTTCTGCTTATTTTTTTGGTTTTATTCACTTTTGAGTATGTATCTTTTTATTCGCATTTTTGAGGCATTCATCATAATGCTGGGGACTCGGGCATCGAGTGAATCCGAAACCGAACATCCCAAATGCTTTTGTCTTTTCGTCAACATGTCACAGCCACTAAACATCAATAAGTTGGGCTTTTATTGATTTCGCGTTGTCCAAATTTTTTACAGCTCATCTTTGTGCGGAGTTTTTAGGGGGATTTCGTGTTTGATTTCTGATTTTTTATTGAGCATTGGCCACAATTAATTAGCTAAATCTGCATTTTGCATAAATTACAAATATAATATTTTCATATTTCGGTTTTCAGTATTCAGTTTCCAGCTTTCGGCTATTGTGCTTTTGTCTCCTTCTTTTTTGTGGGCCAATAAATCAAGTCCGGAGTTGTTTTTTGTGGGCCACCGCCAAAGTTCTGGCCGATAATTTATTTAGGTGACTTTGAATGATTTTAGCGGTGAGTTTCAAACGGAGCAGACGCTCGAAACTAGTTTCTCTTCCCTAAAACTAATCACTTTGGCTACTGTTCGGAGATGCCATCGATAAGACGGGACAGGAAGATCCATTGGATCGATTTGCAATTGTCAAGTAATTTAAAACAAACGAAACATTTAAGTAGAGCTGATAAAAATATTACTTATAAGCTATTGATTGCTTTAATTTAAATTAGTTAACAAGCAAACTAAGCTCAAGTTAAAAGCAACTCCAAGGGACCAATTTGCAATTGTCAGACAATTAAATACGAATATTTTCGGGCGAGAAACTGGCAAGAGAACATTTATTTTATTTATTGGAATTTTTTGCCAGAAATCAAATCGAATGGTTTGTCGTTAGGGGTTGGCTCGTAAATTCCAGGGGCGGGTTTGGGTCTCTACCTTTCTGTCTTTTTTATTTTGTGGGCTGCCGGCAGACAGGAGTTGCAATGATTTGTGGCATTTTACGATTTTACAGGCCCAAGGGCCATGCATCATTTGTAGGCCAACTAAGCGTCCTTTAAGGACTATTTTGTGGATGCACTCGAACGAACAATGGGAAGACACTCGACTCGCCTTCTTTTGTGCGGTTTGGAGAGGACCCCTTGTGCTGCCTCCTGCATTCGATTTTCATTCGAAGGGACTTTTCGCATTTACCTGCTAAAAGTGCCTCTGCGACTTTGACACGTTTGTCGGGAAATCGGGAAATAGGGAAACCTCTGCCTCGCAGTTCGCATGCGCAACCCGGAAAGTGACCAGGATCTCGGATCTATTGTCCATGTGCGAGGCCCAAACAAAGGTGTGATATTTGTTTCTCTTTTGTCCCCGATCGGGGCAATTGGCTCAAGTCAAGATGCGTTTTCCGCTTGCCATTGTTTCTCCAAGGAGACCCGAGGCGTAGACTTCTTGTCAGCGTTGACAATTAGCCAGATTCGTATTCTCCTGGCCACAGGACACTCTCGAAAGTGTCCTTTGTTTGGGAAGCCAATTATGAGGGGGCTTGCTGAAAAATCTGCTGACCGCCGGTCAAGCAGCTGGTTTCAGAAGTATCCTTTGGAAAGCAGCAAAGTCCTGGCAATCGGCACGCGCTCCTTTTCTGCTTTCTTGTGCGGAATTATGGGACAATAGGGATGGGCGTGTAATTCACAAAAGGTGTTTTGTTAACCACTCAAAGCCAATAAGTAGCTTGAGATATGGAAAGTCAGATGCTCTATCTTCTATGTCTGTAATCTACTATCTATTTTGGGAAATAGAACACTATAGCAAACAATCTTGCATAATTAAATTCAAATTTAAGGGCTTAGTCCACTAATCCCAAGTCAAAACCACTTCAATTCAACTCGAAAAACCCCAACTCGCCAATTAAAGAAAACATTCCGAACCGCAAAAGGAAGGCGTCAACGACTTCTTACACAAAAACCTCTGCCGTGTTTATGGGAGGTTTAGTTTTTTCCAATCTTTCAATTTTCTTGTGAATTATTAATGAAAATCAGTTATTGAAATATGTATATATGTTTTTTATAGCTGCTTCGCAGGCATTCGACATTTAAACGCTTAAATATTTATGCCTTTTTTATATCTCTTTCTCCGACTACCTAAGAGCAGGGAAAAAAGAAAAAGACTCCAGCCCCATACATTGTTGAATATTCATAAGGCAGCGCCTAGTGGCGTCATTTTCGGATTTGGATTTGGATATGGAGGCTGTATAGGATGGGGATACCACATCTGGGGCGGGTCAAGATCGATGATGTCAAGAAAAGGTCGATCGGGCCGAGGAGAATCCCCTCTGTTGACCAGAACTGTTGACATTTGATTTCAGGGTTTACCGGGGACTCGAGATGTAAGCGGAGCCCCCGCCGATTTTCAATCCAGTTCTAGCCGGAGAAATCGGTCGATTAGAAACATAACGCAGAGCAATAAGCGTCAGCACCTTGTCCAATTTGCTATGGTAATGAAAATTACACTCGTCGAACAAAGCCATGGCAAATCGATCATCGGCGAGCATAAATCATGATCGATTCTCTGCAGACTCATGGCGAATATTTTTCAAAATCCTGTGGGTGGTTCGAGCACAAAAAAAAAGCAAAAGCCTCGCACAGCGGGTGCAAAAATCGATTAAACGTTTTCGGGGGGATAAAATGAAATCAAAATCGAAACCCCGAAAAATGTGTTTTGTTGAATGAACACGGAATTGAGCAACATCATCTAGGCGACACGATCCATGCAACATCTCGAAAAAACCCAACTTGTATACAATTTTTTGGGGTTTGGTTGCAGATACATTTGGATATCAGCCTTCATTTCACAGCCAATATTCAAGTATTCGAGTATTCCCCAAACCCCAAAAGTGTGGGCTGTGATATGGGGCTTATTTCTTGAGTGTTTATTAAGGAACCCCGTGGCGCGACTTGTGTGCTTTTCATATTCACCGCTCTGTGTCGTCTCCGTTTTTGGAAACTCATCGTTTTCCAGCGGCTATTAGTGCGCTGGCTTTTTCGAATTGAATTGGAACCGCGTTGCTCTGGTTTTTGTCTCAACTCCGACTCACTTTTTGCTCCTAATGGTCGATCAAACGCCGCCTGTTGCGTTTTCTGGCCCAAAATGCTCGCAGCGGGCTAGGAAACACTACACAAAAAACTGATTTGTGGGTCACTCGGGGTTCGCTCCTCTTACATGTCCAGCAATTAAAAAGGAAAGCGGACTAGTGGGTGTGCAAACAGAGCTCGCAAGGTAGAATACGGGTGAAAAGTATTTGCTTTATTTGCAAGAGAAGCCAAACTGGCACTTTAAACTTTGATAATCAACGAAATGTAGCTCAACTATCAGTAAAAAATATTCTTTAAATTATTTGTAACTATAGTAAATGCAGTTTTACACTTTAGAGTTTTATGCTTTATGCTTCTTCAACACCCTTTACTTGATTGGATCCCAACTCACCTTCATTTTAATTGCCTCCACAATTTTGGCGGTTTTTAATCCAAGTCTTTTGCACGAAAATCTGTCGCCAGCTTTAGCCTGGGAATGGAACCCGATCGCAGCCAGAGTTGGGAGATATAGAGGATGGCGACGACGACTTGATCAGTTTGTCAAGCGCCCCACGGAAGCCGCCGTCTGCATGCGATGCTATTATACAATATTATTCTTCGCCAGCTATTAATAACCGGTGTACTATAAATTCGTATATCCGAGGTGCGGATCAATTCGCAGGCGTTTGCAACATTTTTCGCCTTCGATTAGCACATTCCTCAAACAGTTCACTTCGGCCGACGGCAAATGCGAGTGCGAGTGCGAATGCGAATGCGAAAGCGGGCTTTTGGCAGGGGATATAGTATAGTATATACACTCGTCGCAGAACCTTATCAATAATAACACGCGATAACACGTTTCCAGTATCGCGATTCTCGGGAGATTCTGGTCTCGTGGCGAGCGGACGCGAGATGTTGTTACAGCTTCGAGGCCACTGCGCTAACTGCCGGCGCTCGGGGTTCGAGCTCAGGGATCTGCTGGCTCAACTGGCTCGATTCATGCCCGGTTTCCATATGCTCATGGCCTGTAGCCACCACTACCACCAACAGCACTCGCACGACCACCACGCTCACAGGTAGCAAGCAAAGTAACAACCACCGGTCGTCTCGCAAGAAACTCGACTCGGAAACCCGCTCAACTGGTTTTGAGTGCACAGCTGTCGCCGGCGCAACGGGAATGGTGGTGATTGGCCCGCCTGGCCACGCCCCCTCGGCCCCTGGAGAACGAGTTCTCGACTGGCGTCCCCCATTTTGAGTGCTTTCCCAGCCCGGCCCGTCTCTGCACCAATTGAGTGCGCCGGCGCGTGCCAAGCTGGCCACTTGAAACGAGTGCCACTCGGAGTGGAGTTCGTCGCCGGGAAACCGGGTGGGTGTTGCTCTCGTGACAACGGCAACATCGCTGCCACAGGGGGCTCCACCGAATAATGTTGAATGTACGCTCTTAGGACTGGTGTTGCACGTTTCACTGCTGGCCATTTACCGAGTGTTGCTACTATTGGTACTATATAGTAGCCATTTGTGATGATTTTACTGATGTTACTGTGTTATGTATAAGAAATATATTTGGTATTTTATTTGACTTGGTATAGCTGTTGTTCAAACATTCTTCTTTTTCTGATAATGCTGCTATTGTTTTAACACTAATGATCGACTGATTTTCGAACCTTCTATCAAATATGCGTTATTGCTAAGAATATATTCTACAGATGTTGCTGCTTTTGCAGCTTTTTCGACTGATGTTGCTGCTGTCATTTAGCTGCTGTTGCTCATGTTGCTGCTGTAGCTCCTGATGCTGCTGCTTGAGTGGGTAAAAGCCCTGGAAAAACCAAGGAGACAAGAGGGAAACGGGAAAACAGGGAAACGGAACTCGAACTCCACCGCACTTGACTTTTTTGGGGTCAAACCGCTTGATGGAGGGGAAGTGAGTTGCCAGTCGATGTTGTCGCTGCTCTCTTTTTGCTTGAATCTTTTTTATTCTTTTTAACGTTTCTGATGGAATGCCAAACATGATAGCGGAACAGAAGTGCCGAAAAAAACTTTAATACAAAGTTAAAGAAAACATATGTATTTATTTCCCAGCTGATCTGTTATTTGGTTGTCATTAACTTCTCAAATTATTAGACTCCAGATTTTCCGTATTAACCATTGTGCTCCTTATCCTTTTATTTAAGCGCTGCTCTTAGCTTTTTGAGCTGCGAGCACTTTAACCATTACTTTGACCATTTTTCATTCAGTGTCTCTTTGGTCGTGGGCTGTCTTTAAAGCCGCTTGGCATTCAATTGGCATTTGGCTGTCGCCATCATCCAGTGGCTCCAACCACCTCCTCTCCCCCTTTTTTCCACTCTTTCTGCGCTTTTTTCCCTGCTCACGTTATTTAAGGATTAACATCATTTTATGCTGCCTCGCAATGCCTTTTTGCAGGATTAAATGCTGCCGTCTGCTGGCTCTCGTTCACCTCCCAATGCACTTGGAAAACCTTTTAATTCAATGGTACATTAATTTCTATTTTATTCTGGTCATGTCTTCGTTTTCAATGTCTTAAACTTTAATGAAGTTTTGTATAAAGGAAAGCCGTTTTTAGAACATTCTTCTTTTCATATCAAATGCAGATTTCTTAGCTTCGAGTCGAATTGCATAATATTTTTACAAGTGTGTATCCCCCTCCCCACCACTCCCCCTTGCAGCAGATCTTCCCCCTCCTTTCTCCGCTTTGAATTGATTGCATTGCACTTTTTCTCGCTGTTGTTGTTGCATAGTTTGCGCTGATGCGCCGCCTCCATGGCTACAAAGTGATTTTTATGGCTTTCAGTCTGTATGTATGAGAGTGCGAGAGTGTGCCTTGGTGTGTGTGCTTGTGTGTGTGTGTGAATGCAAATGTTTGCGTTCGAGTGCGTGAGTGTGTGAGTGCACTTTGATGTTTCCGCATTACAAAGGCGGCAATTTAATAGCAGTGCATTTATCAAAAGGCAGCCAAAAGTCCGACAGCAGTCGGTAGCTTTAACACGCATACGCCCCGTGGAGCGCCGCCAATAAGTGATCCAAAAACTAGGAAACTAGCGGAAACAGAGCTTCTTGCAAAGCTCCATACCCTTTTATTTCAATGGAAAATGCGCTTTCCTTCATGTTTTATTTTAAAAAGATTAGTTGACAATTTAGGTAAAATTCACTAAATTCTAAGTGGTGTTTCTGTTTAATAAGGCCAAAAAGTTACTTACAGAGAAACCAAACACTTTTTTTAAGCACCTTATGACCAAGGTTAACGAATCCAATCACTTTTTGGACGATTAAAAAAAATTAATTTTTTCGCCAATTTTCGAATTTTTGGTAAGGGGTAACATCATCATTTTTTGCGAAAAATGGCCAAATTTCAACAATTTTTGGTGTAAATGCCATCGGATTCTAAATTTTATTACGAATTCAACGGTGTATGCCATTCCACATTTGGAAGAGTACTTCCTCGGATATTGCAAAAAAACTGGGTTTTGTAAAGCAATTTTATGTAGTTTTTAAACTGATAATAAAAGCTACTTACATAACATTATTCTCCTCTCAACTGTCAGCACATCGAAGCGCAGTCCGTTGCTTATCCTGGACCACATCTGCCTTAGAATCTAACTCGACCCCAGAGGCTCTAAATTGATTAACAGTAGCCCCCGACCCAAAATAATCGGTTGGGGGATGTGAAAGAGATGCTGTCAACGCTTCGGCGTTCCCGGAATGCCTTCCATTTACATGCCATAATTCTTAAATGTCACCCGTTTACAAAAGCCTTGACCATTTGATTTCGGCCGCCTTCGCCTTGGCCCTCGAACAGGTTGAAACCCGGGCAGGTAGACCTCTAAATGAACTCATCCTTTTCATTTCTCCCTTTGTTCGACTCTTAGAGCAGCGATATTATATTTATTTGGATCTTTATTGAGCTGCAACCTGTCGCGGTCGCTCGTTTTTGGGTTTCGGGTTTGCTTTCTTGGGTCTCTCCCTCTAGATCTTCCCATTCTGATGGCAGATTTATGTTCTGGCCTCCAAGCAGATACAGATCGAAGAGATACCATCGAAGGGATGGCCAAGAATAACTCTCTCTGTTGAAGGAACACACTATAAAAAAATTTAACTGGAGAAAAAAATTTTAAGTTTTTAGATTAAGTATATGCTTCTGTATATCCACATATTTTCAATATACCAAGGGGTAGAAAAAATCCGATTCAATTTTAAAAATATATTTTTTTCTACATGAAAACAAATATTTTTCAGTGTCCGTTTTCTTTGATCGGTGAAAATTTCAGGGTAATTTGTTGGCTCCGTTTTCTTTTATTTTTGTTGGTCTCTTGGTTTTCAGGGCGGACTCTTCCCAAAACTGTTGGTGGCATGTTCGACTTAGTGTGGCTACCTTTTTCGGCTTTGTGTCGCAGTCGCGCGTGTTATGAAGATGTTAGGATCCCTGGTCAACCCCTAAAATATGTCTTAATTGTCGGGGCCCAAGACCATGGAATGGACAACATTTAGTAGGTAGTACATCCACCTACGTTGAGTTCCCGTCTGTTTGCATAATTCCTGGCCAGCGCCTGTTTGCTCAAGTTCTGTTTTATGGCCGACGTTTGTGGTAACATGTGCCAAAGGACATCATTTTGTGGTGGTAAACGACTGCCCATAAATCATTGGCCAAATTTAGCTGTTTGCCCAGGGAATATTTGTGTTAAATGTCCGAGGGGTAATATTAAAGCATTAAAAAATATTGAGGTTGTCTGGCGAACTTAGGAAAGTTCATATAGAATTATTTTGGGGACTCAAATAATTAAGAATATATTCATAAAACTTAAATTGAAATTATCGTTCCCCCAAGTTCAAAGACAGATTTTTGTTCCTTCTCCTTATACATTATGTATATATATATATTTGTAATAACTCTCTAGTGTATATATAAATTAAAATAAATAAATACATTTTTTTGGTTTGTATTTTTTGTTGGTTTTTCGTTAATAATAATTATCATTACCATCATCATTATCTTTAGAGTTATCCTCGTCGGTAAAAACGCCGCCCTCGTCCCATTAATTTGTGTCTTTATCTCATTTGCATGCTTGGTTGTTCGAGTTGCTGGTTGCTGTGGTTTTTGGTTGTCGCGGTTTGGAGCTACAGTGTTCGTTTACCAATTAGACCGAATTGTCATGATGCAGTAATAATAATAATAGTATATTGTATAACATATTCCGCATTATCCTGCCCTCCCTTGCACATTCATTCCCCAACGATCCCTTCTATCCCTTCTAACTCTCTCTTCTCAACATTCTTTAGTCGTCAATGATTTTGTGGTTTCTTTAACAAACAGAGCAACAAACAAAGAAATGCACAACAGGAGCAAGTGTTGCATGCCTCCAGGATACTGGGATGCTGCCCCGGCGATCCTGCTTCGCATCCTGTCTCTCATCTCGGGACTATCCAACAAAGCGTTTTCTGTGTGGTTTTCTGGTACAATACGATTCGGTGCTTACAAGTAGTATAAGTAGATTTCGGTTTTGGATTCGAATCTTGAGCAGTTTTGTTCACTAACTTATTTGGTACTGTTTGTGTTATCGGCTATAAGGTTATATATGATTTATCAAGTATCAAGCTGAGTTCCTAGCGCACCTTATTTCGAAAGCTATTTATACCTATCGGCTGAATGGTTAATGGGCTCAGGATCTGCATGTGATAAGTGACAGATTGCTTTGGAGCGAGACTAGCGTTGCCGTGTGAGCGATGTCTCGTTTCTCGGTTTTTGGTTTTTGGCAGGTCCAAATTTCCAGACTGGCCGGCGCACTAACCTACTTAGACGCTATATGTATGTATATGTATATACTCGTAGTCGCGTTTCAGATTTGTGTAAATTATTGTTATGTACATTTAGACATGCAGTTCTAGAAGTTCCGAGCGAGCGGGCGAGAGAAGTCCTGCCATTGCTTGTAAAGTTCGTTGTACAAAAGCGGAAATCAGGAAAATCATAACCGTTTGCTGTGGAAAGTCACTAAGAAAGTAAGTAAGTAAGTAAAAACACAAAAGGCAACACAAGGTTTAACTTCAACTAATCATGTGGTTTCTCTTTTATTATACTTTTCGATTTTCGCATTTGCTTGTTTTCTTTCTTTTCACTTGCCTATATATTATTAGATGGTACATATACATATGTAGTTTATACGCTAAGCTAATTATTTGTTTAACAATAAATGTATAGCTGCTCGACTCCGCCGTCTACTCATCCATCGTGTTCCATTGTCTCTTTTCACAACAACGAAATGTAACTGCAGCTTCTTGCATAAGGAACAGAAAATAATAAGGAAATTCTATTTCGAAAGAACATAAACGTAATAAGGAATAATTCAAATCAAAAATCAAATTTAACAAATTTCATTAATTAAAGTTACGAAATAATAATAATTGACTCTCTAAATTATAGATGTATTTTACTTGTAGGTGTTATAGGCCTTAAATAAACAGATTTAGTGGCTGTTTCGAGACTTGTGTCGAAGAGCTTTACACGAAATTTTGCTGGACAAAATTAGATATAGGACTCGCCCCATTTCTGGCAGCAGATTGTTGGAACCTTCGGATCCAGAAGGCCATGTTGTCCGGTCGGTCGATTGGTTGGTTGGTTGGTGGAGTTCATGTTCTAGCTTTCGGTCGAGATTTCTAACATAATTAAAACGCATTCAATTAAGCACACCAAAGCAAGGTGATATTGAAAATTTTGAAAAACTTTTTGGTAGCAGCTTTGGAAATTATCGGTTAAAAAGGGAAATCCGGGAGATAAGCTTGCTTTAGCGTGCAAATAGCGAACGTCTCTGAGTTTGTCGATGCCGTCCTCTCTGAAACTTCTCTCAGTCTATTTGCCATCCTTTCGAGAGCTCTTTCGGAACTAAAGTCTACCTGAATATCCTATACATGCTTGAGAAAGGGAGTGGAAGTTACGTATCCGTCGAGTGTTCCGTGTTAAAAGTTCTGTGTTCAGTTCGAATGTCCGTTCTTCGCGGGTCGTCGTTGTGTGTTCATTTATTGCTTCTCCGGGTTCTCGATTTTTGTTGTTTATTAAAGACTATTTGTAATGGCACAAAATATACAGCATTCAATTCTTTCTGTAGCGGTTCAGTTATTGTAGCTATATCCGTACAATACTCCTTAACTATATAGAGGCTATATGCTATGCTTTGTCGGTTTTCCCCCTTTCCCTTCGCTTTCTGCGGAAGATAACAGTGATGGCTTCGCTCTGTTTCGCTCCCCGGATCTCGTGTGGTGTTTGTGGTGTGTGGATAGTTTGTTTCGGTTTAGGTTTCGGTATCGGTTTCAGTTTCAGGTGACTGGCGACCGACTCCCGGCCACGCCCCCTTCCTCTCCAGCTGCTACCAATAGTGCCCGACAACTCTGCGGCCAGCACTCGACGAGTTCTATGCTCCTCCTGCGCTGCTCCTCCGTTTCCATCCGTTCATCCGGTCCACTTCATCTGGATTTATGGTTGTCAACTACGTTATGTTCCACTAGATTAGGTTGCTATTTATATTTATCTTAGGTATGCCGTTATGTGTATGTAGTTTTTGTTTTGCTTGTGTTTCCTATATTGGTTTTCCGGCTGGCTTTACCGCGGACGCGAACCTTTGTAGTTCGGGTTCGGATGGCGACTGGGATGACGCGCTGAAAACAATCATCAGGGTTAGTATATTTATTTAAAATTATTGTTAAAAATGTAGAATAATTCTTAAACAAGAGTTAAATTAAAAACCTATCCTTGGGGATATCCTCTCTAAATTCAATCAAGTGGAGGTACAAATAAAATGCACTTTTGGGTTCACTAATTACGTATATCCGTTCTTTCAAAATGATCCTTTAACTACTTCAAGTTTTCCCGCTCACCTTGTATCATCATTGTGGGATACATGCCGGCCACCTGCGCCATTTGCGGCCGGATATCGTTCGACGGCGATCGTCGGCTGTTGGGCAAGGCCACCGAGGGCTAAAGGACATGGTAAACATTATACATTAATACCCTTTAATAGAAAATAAGATGATAAGCTGGTACTCACATGGGCGAAGTAGGTCTGGCCGTACTTGAAGTACACGCCGGACGCCCCGTTCGGATTGTAGCCGCCGAGGGCGGCCGCAGCGGCCACGCCGCTCAGCACCGCCGCCGTTGCCTGTTGGCTGCCAGCAGCTGCGGCGGCGGCAGCGGCGGCACTGTGGTGCAGCTGGGCAGTGGGAATGTGCGAGCGGGCGCCGCCTCCGCCTCCCCCGCCCGGCTGAGGACCTCCTCCCGCAGCGCCGCCGGCAGCGGGACCTCCGACTCCTGCTCCTCCTCCGCCGCCGCCAGCGTAGAGCGAGGGCGGCGAGGCGTTCATGGCGGCTCCGGTGGCCTGGTCGAGGACCACGAATCCCCCCGAATGGCTGACCAGCGTGGGCTGTGGCTGCGGCTGCTGAGCTGCTGCCACCGCATTCGGCGTGTTGGCAGCACTGTTGCTCTGGCTGCCCAGAATACTGTTGGGCGAATTGTTGCTGCTCTCGTGGCTGCCGCTGCCTCCTCCGTTGGCGCTCGGCGAGTTCCGCTGGGAGACGCTGCGCCGGTAGTCCTGGTTCATCGACTTCTGGCTCCGGAAGCTGGCGGCTCCGGCGTTCAGACGCATTGGCGGCTTGCTCTCGTAGCTGGCGATGCCGCCGGGACTGGAGTTGGCCGCGTAGCTCGGCGGCGGTCCGCTGATCAGCGGCAGCTGGTTGGGCTTGTTGTCCCGCTTCACGCCCATCGAGTGAGGCGGCGGACCCCGGTGCTGGTAGCTGGAAATGCCGCCGGACGAGGAGCCGCCGCCCAGGCTCACGCTGCTCGGCGAGGCACGTGGCGTGGGCTCGTTGTTGGAATTGAGCAGCGGGGTCTTGGCGCCCGAGGGGATGCCCCCTCCCAGGGGCACAGAGTGCCTGGGGTTGTAGCCGCCGCCCGGGTGATATGGCTTGCGCACTCCCACCGAGGCTCCGCCGCCTCCGTGGCTCCTCTTCTCGTACGGCGAGGTGTAGCCCTCGTTGCTGTTCTGGTTCTGGTAGTAGTGCGGTGTGGAGCTGTTGCTGTGGTAGCCACCTCCACCTCCGCCTCCTCCTCCGCCGCCGGCACTGCTGCTCCCGGAGCTCCCGTTATTCGGAGCCGGAGGGGTGCTGAACAGCGGCGCCTGTCTGCCCGGATTGGCCGGAGTGGTGGGAGCCGACTGCGACGACCCCGGGTCCATGGTTCCCGCGCTGGCCGGGTAAAAGGGAGCCGCCGTGATGAGCGTGTGGGCGTGCGGAGCACTCTGCGGCGGTGGCGGAGGCGCCGCCTGGGGCACCATCTGCGGAGGAGCCGCCGCAGGACCGCCTCCGGGAGCGCCGGCCGCTGCTGCCGCCGCCGCTGCCGCCGCGTAGGGGAAGATGTTCGTTGGGATCAGCGCGGTGGCGTGTTGGGCGGGCAGCGCGTACACATGGGCACCGCCCGCACCACTGAGATCCGTGCCGGCTGGCGCTCCGCCGTGGGCCAGCGTCAGCGTGGGCAGCGCGTGATATGTGGTTGTGCTGGCCGCCGGCGCAGCGATGATCTGGGCGGAGCCCGCCGACGGATGGTGGTTGCCTCCGCCGCCATGCGACACCGAGCTCGGAGTGTAGCTGGGGTTGTAGTGGATGGACCCGCCGCCGGGCGTGCGCTTCACCCGCGTGCTGTAGCCACTGGAGCTCACCCCGGACCCGTTGCTCGAGTGCTGCTGCTGCTGATGGTGGTGGTGCGGCTGGTGGTGCTGCTGCCCAGAAACTAAAGAGAAAGGTATTAACACAGTCTGCAAATTTAATAACCACATTTGTTGTGCCCACCTGACACCACTGTGGGTGGACCTGCGGCTGCTCCGGCTCCCGCGTGCGGGGCTGGCTGCGGCATCGGAGTCACCTGGCCCACCGGCGGCTGGCTGGCCACCATGGGCGCGGCGGCCACCGCCGGCTGAGGCACGTAGTACGAGATGGGGTGGTAGTACGGGTAAGAGTATTGGATCGGATACGGGGCCATCGGGAGCTGCTGCAGCTGGGCGCCGCCGCCCGGCTCGCTGGAGTAGATGAGCGGCGCCTGGTAGATGGGCCCGCCGTTGGGTGCCGCTGCCGCTGCGAACTGGGCCGTCGGATAGGCGGAGGCCATGGGCATCACGGTGGCGGCGCCCGGTCCGCCGGGACCTGCCTGGTAGATGGCCTGCGCCGGGATGAGGCCCTCGCGCGGCGGCTGGGCCGGATCGAAGACAGGTATCATGTAGGTGCCGCCGGGGAGCTCGCCCCCGGCCTCCGGCGAGGCGAACAGCGTCTGGGCGGGCGGATGGCTGCTGGTGGTCAGCTGGAAGAGCGGCTGCGAGGCGCCGCCGGCACCGGGCACTCCGGGCTGCGGATAGGCGGCGTACACCATGCCCTGCGGCACCGCGTAGATGCTGCCATCGGGCTAAGGGAACAAGCAAGGGATTAGTCTGTGAACAACGAAAAGATTTCCCATCCTCAGATGGAAGGACGGAGACTCACCCCCTGCTGATATGTGGTGGCGCAGTAGGGCGCCGCCCCGTTGGGCGTGGTGGTGGTGTGGAACACGGTGGACCCGTCCGGCGCCTGGTAGCTCTGCGTGTACGTCCAGGTGGTGGTCTTGGGCTCCTCGACGGCGGCACTGGGCCCCAGGCTCTGGCTGGGCGTCTTCACCTCGCACTGGCTGTACGGCGTGGAGCTGGGCGACACGGACTGCAGGTCGCAGTTCACCTGGGTGGCCAGCGGCAGGGGCGTCTGGCTGGAGGGCAGTTCGGTGATGCCCACGGAGGAGGTGGCCGATCCGGACGAGGATGGCCCGGCCAGCTGCTCCTCCGGCTCCTGCTCCTGGTGGCCGGCGGTCTCCAGCTCCAGCTTCTCACCGGCGGCACAGCAGGCGGGTATGTTCGGACTGGTGGCCTGGTTCTTGTACTTCTGCACCTCGATGCGGTCGTAGTTCTTCGTCGACGTGGAGGTGGTGATGCTCAGGCAGGCGGTGGCGCTGGTCAGGCTATCGCAATCGTCGCCCTTCACGCTCGACGCGTCCCCGTTGCCGAAGTGCAGCTGCTGCGCGGCCAGCGGCTGCTGCTCGTAGCTCTCGTAGCCCTCGGAGCACTCCGCTCCCGGCGACTGGGCCTCCTCCTCCGCGTAGCTCTCGGTGGAGCTGCACGACAGCTCAGTGGTGGCATGTTGCTGGGCTGGCTGCTGGTGTTGCTGCTGCTGTTGTTGCTGCTGCTGCGGCTGCTGCACTTGCTGCTGATGTTGCACCTGCGACTGCTGCTGCTGCTGTTGGTGTTGCTGCTGCTGGTGTTGCTGGTGCTGCTGCTGCTGCTGGTGCGGCGAAGACTTGCGGTAGTTGCCGTAGCCGCCGGAGGAGGAGTTGCCTTGGTTCTGCGACTGGTACTGGTTGCCCGTGTGCTGGAGCGCCTGGTTGGGCGGCAGGTTGGACGGGTCGTAGTGGTAGATGGAACTGCAATAATCGGATAAAGACATTAGTTCTTTGATTTCATTTAATAGCATTTTAACTGATAGGATTGAGTGTGTCTTTCGGGTATTTTTCTCGCTCGGCAGCATGCAACGTTCGAATAGGAAAAGTAAGTATAAAGAGTATAACGCTGCAACTAGAATAACTGTAGTTTTCATTGATATATACAATTGAGTGTTTATTTCCAAAAAAAAAAATAATACGATTTTTTTATGGACAACAAAAGTATGTAATGATTACATTTCTGGAGTTAACAAAAAATGAATAAACTTTTATTTTAATCGCAGCTTATTAACTATGTTCAAAAAAGGAAAGTACAGTCCACACAAGCGGCTGCTGATAGAGTTGCCACAGTATGCGGATTTTATTTTCTTGTTTTCTTATTTATTTGCAGTGTGTTAGCGACGCGACGGCAGCGACAGACATTTAGTATTATATTAAAATAATTGAAAAAACAACAACAACAAATGGTAGACGGATTGTATTGATACAATGCGAAATGCAAATTGAACGAACAACAATTAGGGTATGACGACAACACTGGCAGACGATACACACGATAACATTCAACTCATTCATTCAATAGGTACAAATCTTGAACTTTCGATCAACGCTGAAGAGGCAAGCTTGGTGATTATATTTTGTTAAGAATGGAAAGTGAAGAGGTTTTGCTTAAATATTGGATATTGGAGTAACGCCCATTTGTGTGGGGATATGGTGTCGATGAGCGTGAGAAAAAGAGACACAGATCGAGAGGTATATAGAGGTGAGAGGCGAATAGTTATATTCGATAGCAGTTGGTGTTGCACTGGGTGTCGGTTAATTTAGTTTGAGTTTAGGCAGATAATTTACAAAAACAACATCAACAAGTTTTCACGAAAAATGATAAGCTAATAATATTGCATATTTCACATAGAGTAACGCATTAATATTTATGGTAAATAATATTGAATAACATGGCTAATGTTATATAGGAATATTTTAAATATTGCTAAATATTTGGTAAAGCTTTAAGCAAATAGCTCTTGCGCATTGAACACAGATATGTAAGTATTTATATTAGTTATTAAAATTTCGTATTAAATAATTAACATTCAATGTAAGTTCAATTTCGGATATATTTTGTCTAAGTATATACTTTTTCCAAAAATATTTTGCAACTACTGAAATTCATTAACATAGAGTAAATACTTTATAAATTTATTAAAAATTGTATTTTAAGTTTGAGCTGATTTGCGAGTTTTAAAGAAGAGGCTAATTATGTAAACTTTTATTATAATAGTGAGATAAGATATGCATTAATAAAAAAGTTCTCTTTGGTAATAATTAATTAACGTTGACAATAGCTGAACTATATTTTAAAAGAATATATTTAGGTATAACTGTGTCCTTAAGCCGCAATTGTCGCTATTTTTATTTGATTTAAAATATGTGTAAGTCGAGGAAAACGAAATAAACGGATATACGAAAAGCAATTGCAGTAAAGAATGCGATAATTTTGCAGCGATTTCTGTAGTATATTATTCTTTTTAGTTGTTTGTGTGGTTTAATTGTCTTTGGTTTAGTTTTTGTAAATTACCCGTCTGCATTGACAATTGGTTGGAGGGTTTGCGGATCAATGAGGAGGCTGCCAATTGGCACATTCGAAATGTCTGTGACGGCCCAGACGAGTCCCGACGTTCCCGACATTCCCGACGAGGATGAGGATGACCCACCAGCCCCGGCGGCTTCTGGTCCCATTTCCGCCACGTGGGGCGAGGCTGCGCTGGCTCCTGCTGGTCCTGCACCGCCGGCACAACCACCGCCACCCAAGGACATGGTCGGAGCCACCCTGCTGTGGGCGGAAATGGGCGGCGGCGGCGGGTGGCTGAACTCCGGCGTCTGCCTGTCGCTGCCGTAGCCCGTTGGCGATGGCGTTACGGAATCGGAGCGCACGGATTGGGTGCGCGTCTTGTAGCTGGACGGGATTTCAGTTGGAGTTGGAGTTGGTTGGTTTATATGTTGGTTGTTGGTTGGTTCATTTGTTGTTGTTGTTGTTGTTGTTGTCGGGGGATTGCATACAAAAATGTGGTTTTGGTTTCGATATTTTTGGGTATTTTTTAAGGTTGTCAATTTAAAAATATTCGTAATTTAAGAAATGGAGCGAGAGCGATTTTGAGTTTGGGTACATGGACATGGTTTTAACAAAAAGTTTATTTCGCTGACCGGCTTCACTAAGTTTCTGCTACTTTAATCGAATTATAAAATGAAGGGAAATTAATAATTACATTACTTAGTAATCCCACTTAAAATGTCTTCTCAAACTAAGCTTGAATTTGTGGCCAACTAAAATGAACTAAATATGAAACCATATATTCCCAAACCAGTGAAACCGGTTACACATAAAAGAGTTGAGGAGACAGACTTTGTGGCTACTCACCCACTGCTGGAAGGAGACAGCCGCCAGGGAGTGCTGCCAGTGGAGTCCTGCTTCACGAAGCCACCACGTCCGCTTTTGATCGAGTTTGTGGAGTCGCCTCGCGGCAGGGAATTGTTGCCAGGACCTCCGGAACTTGGAGGACCTCCGTAGTTGCCAAAGTTGTGCGACTTGGGCACAGCTCCGCCCGATCGCATGCCATCGCGAGATTCCGTGGACTAAAAGTATGGAATGTCAGTTTATCTGTATAAAATTATAATATTAATTCGTACATTCTGCATCTGGAGCATCTTGCCGTTGGGCCTCTTGGGCCTGGGCAGCTGGTTCTGCTTCTGCTGCTGCTCCCATCCGCCGTAGCACTCCTCGTCGCCACCGCCGGAATACCCATCGTGGTTGTGGCCCGTCCGACTGAAGATGCGGCTGCGCGCCCGATCGTAGTCCTCGTCCCGCTCCTCGAAGCTCTTGGCCTTGCGATCCAGGGAGAGGGGGCACAGGTACGGCGACTGACGCACCTCGTCGAAGCTGTGCGTGTCCCGCTTCAGTATTGACTTGCGTGCATCGTCGCGCACCAGCGACTGGAAGCGGATCTGAAAGCAGTATTGATTAAGTGATTATTGCATATTGTAGAAGGCTTTATTAGTCAAAAAGTACCTCCGGTATGCGCGTGTTCTTGGCCACGGCCACAATCACACATTGCTGCGTTTCGGTGTCCACATTGTGCTCCATGCCGAAGAAGGCCGCCGTGCGATGGATCAGCATGCGATTGTACGAGGAAGCTGGCGGAAAGCGATACTCACAACCGCGACTGCAAAGGAAACAGAAGAAACGTATGTTATTTATAGTTAATATTAAATTAAATCTTTAAGCCAACTCACCTGTTCTCCTGGACGAACTCCATTAGATCCTTCTCGATCTTCAGGAGGATATTGCGGTCCTTGGGATTCTTGTTGAGTGTGTCCCGGAAGAAGAGCAGCAGATCGGTGCCGCCGTAGTCCGTGTACTGCTCGCTCGAGTTCTCTGATTGATGAAAGACTAGAATCAGTGAGTGATGAGCCGGGGTATTTGGCCACAGACGAAAAGCCGCCACTTACCGCGCGAAATGAAGCCCGAGGTGTTGTTGCTCGAGTTGTTGGATAGCCCGTTGTTGGACATGTTGTTGTTGCCGCCGTTTCCGTTACCACCGCCGCCGCCGCCGCCGCCTCCGCCTAAATCAATGCTACCGGATGAGCTGCCAGCGAGATTCTTCAACCGTGGTTTGTTACCTTTGGCGTTGGTGTTGGCGCGGTGTTTCTTGCCCCCGCCGCCGCCGCCTCCGCCACGCGGCTCGTAATGGTACGGCTCCTCGTCGTGGTTGTTGCTCAGATTGCTGTTCTGGCTGGACATTTCGTGGCGCTCGTGCCGCTCGTGGCGCTCCGCCGCCTTGTAGTTCATCCCGGAGTTGTAGATTACGCCCGCCGAAGAGGAGTTGTTGTGCTGCTGCTGCTTGTTGTCCAGCCCGTTGGACTTCATGTCCACCACGAACTTCTTCGAGCTGGCGTTGTTGTTGCTGTTGTTGTTGTACTCCATGCCGCTGCCGCTGCTGTTGGTGCGATTGTGCTGGCCGCCGGACTTCTTCGGAGGCGACAGCTTGGGGAACTCCGCCTCGTTGCTCAGTGGCACGTTCTGCTGCGGTTTCTGCGGCACATACTGCTGCTGCTGTTGCTGCTGCTGTTGCGGTTGCTGACTAGTGACAATCACGGCTGGCGCTTCCATCAATGGCGAGTTGCCCCTTCCAGTTGATTGTGCTTTGCTGTTGCTGTTGATATTGATATTGTTGTTATTGTTGCTGTTGCTGTTGTTGTTGTTGTTATTGTTGTTGTGCTCGTGGGAATCCCCCTGGAGCAGCTGCTGATCGGAGGAGGCGCCGCGGGGAGTTGGCGTGCGAGGTGGCGACGTCGATTCACGCATCGCATGGCTGCGGGTGAGATGTTTGCCCTTCATGTTGCCCTGGAAAAGTCGAAGAGTCGAAGGGGTGAAGTAATTAGTTTTAAATTACTAGCGAGCGAATGCCAAAGTTGACCAGGCGAACTTCGAAGGCAAGCTTTTCAAAGGATAAAGGTTAGCTACGTACACTAATTTTCTACGGAAAAACTTCTCAACACGGAAACTATCAACGAAAGGATTTAATTGGCAGCCTAAGTTGTACTACATCGAATATATTTTACCTACAAAAAAATACTTTTCTCTAGTTTCCCTCTTGCCAAACAAAAGCAGCAATCCGTGATGCAATTTCTGTTTCATTGATATGTGAAAAACAAACGGCCCACTCAGGCAGGAAAAACCGAAAAGGTTACCGGGGAGTAAACTCCGCCTGGTTGCCGTGCTAGGCTTCTAATATATGATATACTTTGTATAGTATACTTTATATAGTATACCATACAACAACCTACGAACGGGATTGCCTTTTGACATTTTCCGCGCGCTGAAGGACAGGACGGAATCGGAGGATAGACGCAGTCAGGCGTTCAGTCTGTCGGCCAATCGTTCAAGTTTAGTCATCAGCACATTAATTTCGTGCCTTTATTTGTTTTTCCCCCAATTGATTTTCTGCTCAACGAAAACTAACCGAATCTGACATCATTAATCAGCTGTTGGAGTCACTTGACGTGGCCAACAGGCTAAATTAACACTTGAAGTTTCATTAAGGTGGAGGTGAGGAAATCAAATTTCTAATTTAATCCAAGTAGCACGAAAATGTACCCCATATTCAATAAAAACTACCCTTACCTTAAAAGGAACGCCTACTTTATTTTTTTTATTACACTAAAGGACAACACTTAGGTTTGAGTTCTGTCAGAATTTTAAATTCTCTGCCCAAACCCAAAATGTTCCTTCAATTTATAAGACCCACAACCCAGCTTACTTCTTATCAACTCCCAGATTTTCCACTCAAACGAAACCTTAACAGACAGCTTATTTATTGCAATTGGCAGGTTTTGCGAAACAATAACTTGGCCTGCCCAAACCCAGACCTTGCTAATTTTCCAATTCCTCGAACAGGGCTTTCAAAGTGATTTCCAGGAATCTGGCTCGCGCATTTAACTTTCATTGTGGGAAAAATCAATAAATCGACCTTGGAGCCACGCAGCAGCACCGAAATCACCAGCAGCTGCCAGCGAGTGCTGCGAAAGTTCGGGAGGGGTGGAACCAGGGGCCCAGGACATAAACAATGATTGACGATAAATCCTGCATGAGCAGTTAACCAAGGCAACCGACCGACCGACCAAGCGACCAATCGACCAACCGACCAACCGACCCAACCACCCACTCGACTCACACATAAACCTTGAACTCTGTTGGCAAAAGCGTTTAGGAGGACTGTCTGCGATTGTGGGGCAGTGGCAACTGCAGCAGGAGCAATCAGAAACACGTTTACCGAACCGATTGCAACACTGTGGCCATTCGGGGTCGATTGGGGATTTCCAGCAAGTGCGATTCGCAGAACCGTGGTCGCCACCCCCACGTGTGCACACAGTACACATAGAGCACATAACCCACAACCATAACCCCCTTGGACTGCCAGTGACCTGACCCAGTTTGTTAGACGTTTTTTGGGCGTGTATCCTTTGCTCGAGTTCAGTTCATGGCTGCACTTATGTGAGTGCATCCTGCGAGAGAGGTTCGCGCGATGCGATGGCAACTTCGAGAGAGCTCCCAAAAGCGAGAGCAGGTCGAGATGAGAACCCATCTGCAGCACGACACCTGACAAGAGCTGACCTATTTGGGCCAAGTATAACGTCTGCATATCATGTTAACCTAATTTCCGGAAATATAATCTTTCAAATTGCCTTCTATACGATTTACATTGAACATTAAACAATGCTTACAAATGGAACGAAGAACTGATTTGACTCAACTTAAGTTTATTCTATTGTAGGGAAAGTTTTAGTTCTGGTTTGGTATGTTGATACGACAAAAGTTGATACGATTAACTATATTTTTGGGTCTTACTGATTTGTTTAAATGTGCATCACTTACTCGTCTATTGCCGAAGCTGTTCTGGCGTCCCAAGTTGGCAGATCCAGCGGATCCGACCGTCTGATACTCCTCGCCGCAGTTGTTGTTGAGGTTGCTGCTGCTGCAGTTGCTTGAGATTGTTATTACGGAAGAGGAAGATGTGGCTGCTGCTGCTCCCGCTGCTCCAGATCCAGATCCAGATGCAGATCCAGATACCGATCCCGATCCCGATCCTGATCCTGATCCCACTTCGGATGAGTTAGTGTTTGAGGCAACGGCGGCGTTGGCACTGGCAACAACAACAACGGCGGCCGCAGCGGCCGCTGTTGAGGCAGAAGCGGCAGAGGATAAATTGGTTGGAATATTCGTAGCTAGGGCTACTTGAGATTTTGTGGAACTCATAATCACAGTTTATGTCAAGTGTACTAAAACGGAAAAATAAATTGTAGTAGCCAGTTAATGAGTTTGTTTGGAAGAAGCCAATCTCTAAAGTCAATAAAAACATAATTGAAACATAAATGGTGTTTTTATAAGGTTAAACAAATTTGGAATTGAGAAAACAATTATAGGACCCATTGTGATTACCTCAATACGTGAGTTAGACTATTGCATTTTCTTTACACGGTTTTATGTAGCTCCAAAAATTTGTGAACAAATTTTCGTTTATGGTTAGTTTGTCTTTTATTTCCTTTTTTGTTGTCTGCGGCTCATAAGAATTTTTGCATAGTTTCTTTTTTAAATATATTTGTACGAATATTTTTTAGGTTTTATTCCTTCAGAAAAATCATACTTGTCGAAAAGTTGCGGCAGTGCAGTTGAGAGAATATTTTTTATAAAATAGGTTGAACCGAAAAATCTCTGACGCTGTTGTTTTCACTCAATTTGCTTTGGTTTTGTGCGACTTAGAATAGTTTACTTTTAGTTAAGTTTATTTATAAGATGCAAGGCTTAGTATTTGTAGATAAATAGTTATTGTATTGGATTTTGTGGCAAAAAACTTTGCGAAGGGAGGAAAAATAAAACACTATTTTAGGTTTCCTTCGTTATTGTGGTAATTGAGTTTTAAAACGTTTGGTAGTTTGTTGTTTTTAGAACGTTGTTTATCACATTTACACCATATCACCGAAAATCAGAAGCTGCCCTCACTTTTTTTTGGTCTGTACACTTGCTTGATTTTCCCAGTTGTTTAGTTTAAAAATTAATTAATGTATGCACTAAACACTTAAGTTTCTAATTCTATAATTAATTTATATATATATGTATTGTATATTGTATAGTTAAAAATATTTTAGTTAAAGCTTTCTTTCTTTCTGGTTGTTTGTGATTATTTCTCTCGCTGGTTTTCCTTTTTTTATTTGTTTGTTTATTGAGATATTCCCTTCTGGTTGTCTATATAGTTCGGGTTCTTTGAGGATTTCTTTGATTTCCTGTTGTTTCCTGTGGCACACATTTTACTATCTGCAAGAGTTGGAGGAAGTTTTAGTCGAGGGCTTTTCCCCGAGAGAAAAACGCGCAGGCGAAAGAGAGAGAAGTCGAGAAATCGAGAGAATCCCTCCGCAGAACTGTGTATCCGTGTGTATCACACACTCGTAGACAATATGACCTTGTTTACGATTTATTTTGATATTCAAAACTGCACGAACCAAAAGCCGAGAAAATTTCATGATGCGAATATTGCCCTCGGCACGATTAAAAGGGTGGATTCGCCAGCTCTCTTTATCTTCAGGGCTCCTCAGCTCCTGGCGAATATCCTTGTAAGGACACCCAACTGGTTCCCCCAGCCTAATTATCTGGAGGTTTTGATTGCCACAGTTTATGGAATGGAGTAGGTAGCTAATTTTGCGTACTTTTTCTGCGTACCAAAAGGGTTGTGCCGAACACCAAAACAATGTTTCAAAATTTGATGTTTATCAGTCCGAGTTGAATGGACTTTGCATAAATAAGCGAAGCAAGTCGGTGTTCGTAGAGCCAAGTAAAGGCATCTTGGGAAAGGGTGCTGTCCTTTTGCAAACTATAAAATTTTACCATAAAAAGGGCAGCGGAAAATTTTCAAAGACTATAAAAAAGGGAAAGGATTTCCAAAGGTTAAAAACGGTTTCAATATCAAATTTGTTTTTAAACATATTTCTTTTACAAAGTATTGGCCAATAATATTTAAGTTCTTTCTAAACGATTGAGCACGATGCAATTTTCCAACATTTTCTCCGACCACTTTCTATTGTAGATACTTATCAGAAAATTCTCGAAGGAGAAGAAAATACAGGTATAAACAAAACAAACTAAAGAACACATGAATGAAGGTTTCAATAGAGCCCCAAATGCAAAATGCCATGACAGTCGCAGTGAATCTTTTATTTTGGGAAATACCCGCGAAAAGGCGAACCGAGTGGAAACAAGATTTGGAGAATTGTAGAGGAAAAGCAGAAAATCAGAAAAGTGGGCAGGTGACAGATGACGTAGCCGCCTTAAAAAGAAACACGCATACGACGTGTGGCACACGACCAAAACGAAGGTGACGACGTCGTCTTCGTTTTTCCACCGCCTTTCCTTCGCCGTTATTTCGGCACTCGGTGGAAATGAGGCAAAGGCAAAGTTCGCCAACGAAATTTGGGACAAGAGTCGGAAAATTGCATTCGGGAGAGAAATAGGCGTCCGGGATATCGAGATGGGGGAGTGGAATTATGGGTTGCATGTGGCATGGTATTACGACTTGGCCTTCCTGCTGTTTAGCTGTTTACAGCTGCTCGCCCACCCACCCACTCCCCCGCCCTTTGACCCCACTCTTTCCTCGCCTATCGCGTTTTCCTTTGCTCGGCCATCCGCTCAAAGCGACAAACAAAAAAGCTTCGCCGTAGTGCGAGTACTAGGAAATGTGTTGCGGTGTCTAGTCTGCGGAGAATCAGCTCAAAAGGCGCCTGCGTGGGAGAATCCAAAGAAGAGAGAGCGAGCCTTATGGCAAGTACACGGCCAGAAATACAAGTAGCCAAAAAATATATCTCCAAAAATAAAAATTGTCCCCGAAATTAAAAAACGTTTCGCAATAAAGAAATGAATAGAAAGATGGGATTTTTCTATTATGGTTCAGTTATTTAAACATTATGATATCTTTGTATTTTTTTTGTTAAGAATTGCAGACTAATTTTCCAAGTGCATCCCTTGGAGAGAGCGTGGCGTGCCTGCAGTCGAGCAGGAAGTTGGCTGCGATGCACTCGCAAAGGGAAATGGAAAATGAGGCACCGAAAAAACCCCAGCAGGGCAAGAAGAAGAGGACGAAATGGGGCGTGCAATTCCACCTAGAACCCAATGATTATAATTTGTTGACAAGTCGATGATACTTTGCAAACATGCACTTTTCCACCTCTCACGGGGAATTCGTACGTTAAAACGTCACGGAAATTGAAAAAAAAAGTTTAAAAAAAGTACGAAATGAAAAACGAACCCGAGCAAAAGACCCGAACCCTCGTATGAGTGTCTTTATAAGTGTGTGGGGGAAAACGTGTGCGACTGTGTATGTATAATACACCAAAAATGCGACACAAAAAAATTTGTCTTTAAACCAAATGAAAATTCCTCGCGACTCGAAAACATTTTCTTTTTCGCACACATTTCTCTGCACTTTTGTATACATATATTTTTAAACACTGCCCGGCAAAAGGGGCTTCCTTTTCAGCTTTGGTATATCCATTTACCACTCGAAGTGTCTGCAGTTTCACTAAACCGATTTTTATTTTTTCTACGCGCGTGCCATTCGTATTTTGTATTTTTTTTTTCGTACTTTTTACTGGTGATTCTGAATGTTGTATTGGGAAGCGAAGAACCCCCTACGACAAACCCCATTGTTCTCTCTCGATTTTTCCTCCTCTCTCTTTCTCTTTTGTTATTTTTGTATTTTTTCTTGAAAAACTAATTTTCTCGGGCACTAATTTTTCTTGCCTCCGCTCGTTTGCTTCATTGTGAAAAATGTATTTTTAAGCTGCTGCTGCTGCTCCTTCGCTTTTCTATAGATGTTGCTGCTGTGGATGTTGCTGCTGTTGCTAGTTGCTGCTGCTAGTGTTGCTGCTGTAGATGTTGCTGCTGTGGATATTGCTGGTACGGATGACAATGACAACTTTGGCAACGGCTGCGACAGAAGCGACGACCGCTGGCGGACATTATGGGAACACGGCCGAATGGATACTGGGCCAACTCGCTGGCGGAAAGACACTTTTTCTCATTTTCTCTCTAGAATCTCTCGGCAAAATACCTCCTTCGTGCTTTTCCCCAGAAGGGTGGCAGAAAAAAGCGAGAGAGAGAGCTCTCGGCCAAAAAAAGAGAGCCCTGCGAGTGCGTAAAAGCTCCGCGGAAAACAGGTTAAAGCGTATAGGTCTCCCCCTCTCTACCACTCTCTCTCTCTCTCTCTCTCTCTCTCTTCCGTCTCTCTCGCCCCCTCTCACTCTATATATCCTCCCTACTGTATAGTTCGCCCGATGTCCCATGGCCCAGAGGCAAAATGCTTATTGGGGTGGCGTTTGACAGAGTCTTTTCACTCTGGGCTCACTCAAAGAAATAATGGGTTCCAATGGGTTAACAGCAATTATACAAATTAAGGTGGCCAAAACGTAATTATTGATAATCGAAATCTATCAAAGTGTAATTTAAGAAATGTTAATATTAAGGTTTTTTAGCTATTTAAGAGGCCATCATTTATTTCTCGCAGTGTTCGCATCTACTCCTTCTTGTTGCTGCTGCTCCTGGTAGCTATTGTTGTTGCTTTTATTGTTCTTCCTTAGTGCGTTTGTGTGCGTATTGCAGTTGTTGTAGTCCTTCTGGTTACTGGGCATCTCATTCTTTATGCTTTTTCTGTGCCTCCGCCTATATATCCCTATATCCCTGCTTGGTTCTGGGGCTTCACTTCCTAGCAGGCCACAAAAGGACCTTGGACATGTGAACATAAGTGCGTAAGAGGGAAAGGGAGAGAGTCCTGGAGAAAGAGAGCGAACCAAACAGGAATGTTTATGGCGCAAAACATAAAAAACTTTGTAAAAGTCGATGATGTTTTTTGAGCTTTACCTGAAAATCGAATTCAATTTTAATTGAATGTAAATACCGAAAGAGATTTTCCATCAAAGCAATCTAAATCTGGGTTTCGAAAGATTTTAATTGAATTGTTTATGTGAAAGCCAACAGATAAACGAATGGAAATTGTTCTGATAGAAAGAGCTCATACAAGTGTGAGTTCTTAGGACTATGGGATATCCTTTTAAGGTTACGTAATAAAACCTAAGGTAAATGGACACTTTATTAGTTGTCATAATCATTTATATTAAATATCAATTTATATATTTTTTGCCAAGGATTAAACTTCATTCCGGCACTTCAAACTTTATCCCATAAATCATTGTACCCTATATTCAGCATTAAACTTTTCCCAATTCAATTACCCTTGCAAATCACTGGCAAATTGACCAAAAAAGTGTCCATCAATTGAAACCTTCTCCGCCTCTTTTATTGGCGTTTTCCTTCTCTTTTTCGCTTGCATATCTGTCAATTTGGAGCCTGAAATTGCATTTGATTCCTGACGGAGTACGCCAGTTATTTTATGTTGCCCCAGACTCTTTTCTTTTCCCGCTGATAAATGCATTCATCATTTGAGTGGGCAATAAAAAAGCTTTTAGAATTTAGGGGAAAAAACTCAGGGGAAAATCGGAGGGATAAAGCGACAGCACATTCATTGTTGCTGCCAATAATGTTAAGACAGAGAGCAGTTTCCATAGTTCCCCTCTAAGCTAAGGTTTACTTCAGAAGCTATGTTCCAAGAAGACTTAAATTGTTGTTTTCTCTGTTTAGATTATCTTTCGTTTATCAAAAATATATTTATGTACATTGTGCCGTGCACCCAGTAACTTTAGGATGAAAGTCAGGTGAAGCGTGTCCCAGATTCTACTAAAAATACAAACAAAAATAAACCAACACAAACGCAAATACACATTGAAATTCCACCCCGAAGTATGCAACATAATTTTAGTGCAAACAACGCAATAAGCTCGACTTTTTGTCTAGCGGGACCTTGAATTGAATCAAAGTCTTGCGTTCCTTTCTCGCATGCTTATCACTTCGTGGCGCCCTCTCGCTCTGACTAATTGCAAAATAATTTGCATCGATTAGCCAAATGGGTCCTGAGAATTCGTCGTTCCCTTTCCTCTCTCCTTACTCTCAAAGGACCTTTTTAGCATCTGAGGGATGTCGATGCGTTCCCCCAAATGCGTCGTAATAAATAATTTATGTAAAACGCTGGCAATACCGATAACGGAACGGGGAATGATGGCAAAAACAACAGAAGCAAGAGAGAGAGAGAGAGAGAGAGAGAGAGAAAGAAATTAAAAGGACGAGACTGTTGCTCCTGTCTCTCTCTCGCTCCTTTCGGTTAATGTAATTGCATATTCGTGAATGTCGCGCCTTTCGCCTGCAATTACGACATCTTATTTGGGTCAACACGGAGAGATAGCTCTCTACAGAAAGAGAGGGGGCTAGACCGAGTGAAAGAGAGGGGTGCAGAGTTAGAAAAAGAGAGGTTGATACCCCACAGAATGAGAGAGGGTCCGGAGCTCAAGCTCGTCGCACGTGTGAGCTTAAAAGCGCATCGCATTTCGAGGCCAAGTGCCGAGTGCGAGGATACGAGAATACGAGGACTCGAGGATACTACCAGCATCCGTCTGTCACTTCCGCAGGCAGCTGCAGTATCCAAAAGGGCGGTTGGGGGGCGGGGGTGTCCAGTGGGTGTGGCCTGCGTTGGCCCAGTTTAGTTGGCCCACAGGATATGCAAATGCATCCCTGCTTACTGCACTGATTTCCTGCTGGAAATTCAATTTTAATTCAACGATACCTGAATTCCCCACGGTAATTAAAGGTTACAAGTACTGCTTCTCAATGAATTAACAGATGGCAGAATATGGAAGTATACTTCAGCTTAGTAAAGATGTTTGGAACCTACATTATAAACTTTTGATTTATTTTAAAAAAGTTAAAAAAATACCCGCAGCAAGTAGTCAATAATTAAAAATGTAAGTTTATTTAAAACCAAACCAAAGTAAGCCCTAATTGCCACCTGCATGGGTATTTTCCTAAAAGCTCGAGGTTAACTCAACCCAAGCAGTGTTAGAGCAACCAAGAGGATTCAATAATAGCTCCTAGATTACTCTTCAGTTAGTCAGAGATTTTCGCACTGCAGGATGCGGAGGAAGAGCAAGGAGATGGCCATTAAGCCTTTTGTGACGATCCTGCTGGGGGATATTAAGCAAGCAAATCTAATCTAATTAGCCGGCAAATGCCAAAGCAGAGTCAACTCTGGCCCGGGTATCCATCCACTCTGGACCCCTTAACCCCCGTCAAGCAAAGTCACCTGTTTAACACCTCGACGACTGACTGTACACCCCCGCTTCGTTTTATGGCGCAATTAAAATGCTAAATGCTTTACGACATCGCCCATGGGGGGTCCTTTAATTAATTTGCCTGTGACAATGACTGTCTCGTGTTCTGACGACCATGAAAGGTGTTAACAACAAAACGCCTTGCCGAGAAAGGAGGTAAAAGCAGGCTGGCAAGGACACGAACACCTCCGTTCACTTGACCCACACAAAAAACAAGACAGACAGATGGAAGAGGCGCCCCCGAGAAGTCTTCATTTAAGCGTTGCTCCAACCTTCTAAGACTGGGCGTCTAAACCCCGTCGTCTCTCTTCCTTGATTTTTTCCACCTTTGATGGATGTAGAATTTTTTGCAACACCTGGGGGTCTGGTTTGATACCCAATTTTGTGATGTTATAGAATGCATAATATATTTGTCAAGCAGGAAATGTGTTGTCAACCACAAAATAAACGAGCAGCCGACCCCCTTCCATTTCACCTAAATAATTGAAGTCATTTTATTTGTAAATTGAAGTGAAAAAGTTGCGATTGATTATACATATACCTGGACATTTTATAAACCCTAATAAACTGAAACTTCTAGATTTATTAAACTGGTGGAACAGCTATTTAGGATGCATGGTATACTTAAGGGGAAAGTCTCGAAATCATTTTAACAACATTTGTCTGCTTCCTTTTTAGCTGACACACGGCTAAAACTTTTAAGGCCACGTTGAGCAACCTTTTGAGTTCTCTGACATAAAAAGCCGAGCTAAGCACGACAAACGAGCGAAAGGCTTCGGACTAGCTGATGTCCTGTAAATGGTATTCCACCGAAAAACATTAATAGGAATAGAGCACCAGCTCTCCTCAATCGTTCATTTCGTATGTGAAGCATGCACATTGCATACAGAAAGGGGCACTTGGGAGCCGACATTTGGGGCCATTTGATTGTTGCCTTCAGGTTACCCCGGGCATCAGTCCACGTAGCCCCAGCCGGAGCCACCTGCGGGAATTATGAAATATGCAAAAAGCATCTGCGCGGGCCTAGAGGCACCACCTACCCACCTCCTCGGCGCTTTGCGGGAATAGAAATCGCTTGGCATCGCAACTTTGTCTGCAGCATCAAAAGAGTAAATCCAGGGGGAGGTGGGAGGAAAGGAAGGGGTGTATGAGGCCAAATCAAAAACAAAACTGGCGTTACCGATGTGATGTGATGTGATGTGTCTGCTCTTATCACAGGCGATTATTCATATGGCACAGGTAAAAGAAATACAGTCAAGATTAATATAATGAGAACATTTTCTTGCCTCTTTGATTTACCGTCAACTTTATTTCAGTGTAAAATTAAAACAATTATATTTAAAAGAACAGAATACGTTAATAGACGGAAAAATGTATTGCCCTATATTACCAATTCTTTTTGTTTGATTATATATATTTATAACCAACTAAGCGGAGTTCGCCTGCCTTTGAAGAGAAATGCAAAATCAAAAGATATGCCGCTGCCAGAATGTGTTTAAAAATTTAAATAAAATAGCATCCGATAGTCAGTGGCATGAGCGAAGGCAATAAATTAATTTACAGATTCCCGACATTCTCGAATGAAAAATGCTTCGGTTTCGCGAATTTTGCATTCATTTTTTTTTTTTTTGTGTAATGACAGGCGAATCGGACGGGCGATGCGAATCGGAGCGCGACAACAATCGACTAACTAAGTAGCAGCAAGAACGGAAACAAGAACTACAACATTGTGTGACAACGACGACATTTCGTTTATAGCATCAGCCAAGATGCAACACCTTCATCTCGGCATCATCACCGAATCATCATCAGCATGAGCAGACGAATCATCGAATGCGAACATCCGAATGAAATAATAAACAGAGACCCCCACGATACAGCGACGTTTTAGTAAAAATTAATATCAGTACATATCAATCAATATACAGTAAACACTTGCCTCATATATTGCATCAATTAAAACTATTGAGCTTATTGAATTTAAAGTGCAATTCTTGTATTGTGGCATACACATCTTATCAGCAAATCGATGGGACCACTGTCCATTTATTTCATCTAAGTTTTTTCTACCATAACATTACGTTGTCATTTTGCCCGGGTTCAAAATTAGGGAGAGTGAATAAACAAACCTGACGACATGATCACGACGCAAGCGATGTAAGCTAGATGGTGGCTAGTGAGAGAAGAAAAGGGGCAGGTGGATATAGCCAGGCTGGTCGGATGATTCGCAAAATAGATTTTCAATAAAACCCACTCGAAAACGCCGACAATGGCGGACGCAGGCCAAAGAGCCAGTTCGAATCTATTTTAAACACAAACAAAAGCATTCTCTATAAATCGAGCAATGGCGAAGAGGAAGAAACTTACAGAAACCGTCGAAAAGAATGCGATATGTCAACAGAAGTTGTGGGTTCTGAACGCACTGGAATTAGGAAGATTTAATGGTCAAAAAATACATTTGTGTCTTTCTGGAATCCTACGATCCATTGCTTGGTTATCTTAGTTAGAATTTATCTATCCCCAGAGGTTCTTGCATAAGCAAAATTCCGTAGATTAGACAATTTATTAAAGGTTATAAATCTAAGTAATTTTTAAACTTCGAGATTTAAGCGCTTTTTGGGCAACCAAATTGGTCAAAGTATATTTTTTGTCTTCTACTTCTAGTACAGTTGTAAAAACATTGTTAGGAAAGCAGTTTATAAAAATCTAAAAATCAGAGCGTGCATCCTTTTATTATGAATTAAAAACATTCTTGTTAAACTTTTGACCCGTTCGTGTAGATCGGATTCCCTATTGTACCGCCTATGCAATAATTTTCTCCTAGTCATGGATTCTTTCTTATGCCATCCTAGCAGTCTTCCTTTTAGTCGGGTCCTTCATAGAAATCGTTCCACTAGCTTTGCTCGAACTCTTTAAAGTACTTCAAGGGAAGAAGCTGTGCGAAAAAGTTCCCCAGATCCCAGCCAACCAACTCCAATTAGACATACAGCACAGAATCAGATAACGGGGCCTTCCCGGCAGCAGCACTATTGAGTATATAATTTATAGAGTGAGTGATGTATGTATGTATGTGTGTATATACTGCACTTCAAAATGCAACCGGCGCCCAGAATCCGAAATGGTTGATAAAGTGAAAAGTTGCTAATCACTTGTTTTCTTTACACTTAAGTTATGCACCGGCGAGTGTAGGGAGCCGATAATTAAACCGATTTTCCTGAACCTTTTCTTATAAACTCACCATTTTCAGTTCTGCTTGCCATTGCGAGTCGTTGTTGTTGCTGCTTTTCCTTTGCTGCGTTCTTCTTTTTCTTGTAGCTTTTCTACGCTTTTCCGAGTTGTTCGATGGGCGGGCGCTTTTAGAGGACTACACTGCAGTTTTAGATACTTTTCGCGGCGTTTTCCAAGTTTGTTTAGGCCTTTGTGGCACGCATTTTCACTCGCGGCCTTATAACATATATATTAGAGACGGCAATACATTGACGGACTATCGATAGTATCAATCATGGGATACGTCTGATATCATCAACAGCTTTCAAGCCGCCGCGATAGTATTTTATTTAAGTTAATTAGAGATGGGACACATTCTGTCATCCATATTTTCCGCTGACCACCAATGTTACTGTTGATACCTGGGTGAATATACTAAATCTAATAAGAACGGTCTTATTAAAATTTAAATGTGTGGCAAAACTAGTATTTATAAATATGCTCCAGTTTTAATGAAAAGAGAGAATAAGCTTTCTTGTTTTTCCACGGCTACTTCTTTTACAATGGTTCAGATATAAGGACATTAAAAAAACAGTGCTAACAAAAATAATATAACATGGTAACCTATTTGATTATAGTCGGACCCAAATTCCACAAACCTTAAGATATACAAAACCTCATCAATTCCGCACGACTCTCCTGTTTTCATGCATATTTATTACACATTAATGTAGATACAATTCGAATTGATATTTCGATCAGGTATTTTAAACTAAGGCAAAAATCTGTTCGCAAAACTATCGTTAAAAGCCGAGTGCATCATTAACGACTTAAAGTTTTCATTTTGGTGCGAGTTACTTTAGTTCAACTTGGTGGTACGGCAGTAGTTAACTTAATTCTTGGAATACATGTCATATCTCAACGCCTGTCGTTTCACTTTAGTGATTTTCACAATAATTTATTTGGGTTCTCTCGAATTCAATTTCGAATTTTCGACACTTTTAGCTTAACTGTAGGTTCATCATCATGAGTTTGCGTATACGCTTTGATCGGCGTACGGATTCCGTTTTGGTTATGGCCATTTACTATTTACACTAACTCCAGGCGCTTCATCTCCTTGAAGAGCTCGTGGCCCATTTTGGCAGGACTCCTGGTCACAATAACGCCAGCCTTCTCCAGAGCGGCGATCTTGTCGTTGGCACCTCCCTTTCCTCCGGAGATGATCGCTCCGGCGTGACCCATGCGTCGCCCGGGTGGCGCCGACACTCCGGCAATGAACGAGACCACAGGCTTGGCCTTGATGCCCTGCAATTAGGCGTTGGAAAGAGTTAATAATCGTTGCAGTGGCTAACTAAGTAGCTTCACCTACCGAATTGTACTCGGTCAGGTAGTCGGCAGCCTTCTCCTCGGCCACGCCTCCGATCTCGCCGATCAGGATGATGCCCTTGGTCTCGGGATCCTTGAGGAAGACCTCCAGGCAGTCGATGAAGTCGGTTCCGTTGAACGGATCGCCGCCGATGCCCACGCACAGGGTCTGGCCCAAGCCAACCTCGGTGGTCTGGTGCACGGCCTCGTAGGTCAGGGTTCCCGATCGGGAGACCACGCCGATTTTGCCACGCTTGTGGATGTGACCCGGCATGATTCCGATCTTGCACTGCAATTCGAAAAGGAAAAATAGTTGGGAAATATTTGAAAAAAAAATTTAATCAGGAGAGGGATTCCTAATTTACTGGGTGTGACGTCCAGAAAGAACAGGTTGATTATTAGTCATAAAAATCGTATTCTATAAACAAGACCACGAAGAAGTACAAAGTTCAAGATAAGACGGCCTTAGAGGATTGCCATTTCTGTTTCAACTGTATAGAAAAATCATATAGCGAATATTAAACAGATAACGATATGGTTTCTTTGTCGCGGACGTCACAAGCAGGAGATAAGAGAGCATCCGACGAAGGTGAACTTTGCACCCGGGCTAAGCGTATATTTAGACCTCTTAAAAGACGTACGAACCTGTTCGGGGGCGATGATTCCCGGACAGTTGGGTCCCACCAACCGCGACTTGCTTTGGCTGATGAGGGCATGCTTCACCTTGACCATGTCGTGCTGCGGCACGCCCTCCGTGATGCACACAATCAGCGGTATCTCCGCCTCCAGGGCCTCGATGATCGCGGCAGCAGCTCCCGGCGGTGGCACGTAGATCACGGTGGCGTGTGGGTCGGTGGCCTTCTTGGCCTCCGCCACCGAGGCGAAAACGGGCAGGCCCAAGTGCTGGGTGCCGCCCTTCTTGGGGGAAATGCCGCCGACCAACTTGGTGCCGTACTCCAGAGCCTGCTGGCTGTGGAACGTTCCCTGTTTGCCGGTGAATCCCTGGCAGATCACCCGCGAGTCGCCGTTCAGCTTAAGGTTGCCGCGGGTCTTGTTGTACTGCGAGTTGCAGCGCACGCCGGCAACGAAGCCATCTGAAAAATACCAACATCATTCATAATCATGTTTACAAACGTTTCTAATCAACAGAATATGCGACAATAGGTTTAAATTGACTTTTAATCGTAGATGTGGAACAGCTGCAGATTGCTACTTTGATTAATATTTGATGTTTCATAGTCCTGCAGCTTTCGCGGAAATAAAAGAAGGAGTTTGTCCAAAAGATAAGCTCCAGTGTTCAATTATGGTGCACCATTTGCAACATTTGAATTTTCAATTGCAGTGTACGCCAGCAACGAAAACTCACTTATATGCATCTGTATATGCATTGATTTTTGAGAGTAAATAGAAACTTTATAGTCATTATGAAATCTGTATTTTAAATAAAACATTGGTATATTATCGTGTTTAAGCATAGACTGAACTGTAACGCTAAAAAGAAGGAGTACTCGGAAATCCAAGTCAGTATAAGCAATCAAGCGTTTTGAACTTAAGAAAACTCTGACATTTATATTGTCCTAAAAACTGACGATTGTGTGACAAACTTGTAACCATAATTTGGCCTTCCTTTCGATTTCACGGATAAGCCGACCCTTTAATTCATTTTTCACAGTACTTATTTTAATGCGCTATATAAACCTGGCATCATTTTTAAAACTATCAGCTTCTTACCAGTTCATCATGAGAAACTTAAGCTTTTTATTTATTCTGGGTAAGATTTCTTGACAATTCAAGAACATATTTTACAGGTTTCCCCTTTAGCTGTCTTCGTATTGGGAATCAACGGAGAATGCAGTCATATGGTTCCAAAGATTTATAACCGCAGATTGCAACTTGTATGCCTCTAACTGGTGGGAAGCCGACAATCAGTCTTGCGAACGCAAAGAATTAGGACTATCACGTAGGTACATCCAATTTTGAAATGAATGTAATACTAGATGTTTCAAAATTTTCCAGCCTTCTTGGAAATTAAAGGCGGAAAATGTTCATCAGATAAACCTTCGTGTAAATATTTATATAAAGGATTACCTTTTAACAAAAAGTATATAAAGTAAATTGTAACCTCCAATAAAAGAGCTTGAAGCGAAATTGTGTTTTCTTGGCCACATCTAACTTGGTTTAGTAACAGTTCAATTTTCAATTGCAGTGTACACCGGCAACGAGCATTCATTTAAATGCATAGTTATTATGAAATATGTACATATATTAAATAAAACATTGTTATATTATCGTGTTTGACCATATAACTGAACTATAATGCTGAAACGAAGGAGAACTTGGAAAACCAAGTCAGTATAAATCAAGCGTTTTGAATTTAAGAAAACTCTGACATTTATACTGTCCTAAATACTGACGATTGTGTGACAATCTTAATCATAGTTTGGCCATCAATTTGATTTTACGGATAAACCGACCCTTTAATTCATTTTCCACAGTACTAATTTTCAGGCGCTATATAAAGCTGGCATTCCTTTTAAAACTATGAGACTCTTAACAGTTCATCATGAGAAACTTAAGCTTTTTATTTATTCTGGGTAAGATTTCTTGACAATTCAAGAACATATCATACAGGTTTTCCCTTTAGCTGTCTTCGTATTGGAAATCAACGGAAAATGCAGTCCACGAATTGCAAGGATTGTGGCCCCTGTTTGTGGAGTTGCCGCAGATTGCAACTACGATGCCACTAACAGATGGGACGCCGACAATCAGTCTTGCGAACGCAAAGAAATAGGACTATCACGTAGGTACAACCAATTTTGAAATGAATTTAATACTAGATGTTTTAAAATTTTCCAGCCTTCTTGGAAATTAAAGGCGGAAAATGTCCATCAGATAAACCCGAGTGTAAATATATACATAATGGAATACCTTTAAGCTAAAAGTATATTGTAACATCCAATAAAAGAGCTTGAAGCGAAATTGTGTTTTCTTGGCCATATCTAACTTGGTTTAGTAGCAGTTTAATTTTCAATTTCAGTGCACATCGGCAACGAGCATTTATGTATATGCATCTGTGTGTGCATCTAGAGAAACTAGAAACTTTATAGTTTTTATGAAATATGTGTATTAAATAAAACATTGTTATTCTATCGTGTTTAAGCATAGGCTGAACTGTAACGCTGAAACGAAGGAGAACTCGGAAAACGCTTTTCGAAAAGCGCTTTGAACTTAAACCAACTTTCAGACATTTATATTGTCCTAAAAACTCACGATTGTGTGACAAACTTGTAACCATAATTTGGCCTTCCTTTCGATTTCACGGATAAACCGACCCTTAAATTCATTTTTCGCAGTACTAATTCTCAGGCGCTATATAAACCTGTCATCGTTTTTAAAACTATCAGCTTCTTACCAGTTCATCATGAGAAACTTTAGCTTTGTTTTTATTCTGGGTAAGATTTCTTGACAATTCGAGAACATATTTTACAGGTTTTCCTTTTAGCTGTCTTCGTATTGGGAATCAACGGAAAATGCAGTCAAATGGCTGCATTGATTTTGGCCCCTGTTTGTGGAGTTGCCGCAGATTGCTACTTGAATGCCGACAACCGGTGGGTATTCGAAAATCAGTCTTGCGAACGCAAAGAAAAAGGACTACCACGTAGGTACAACCAATTTTAAAATTAATTTAATATTAGATGTTTCATAATCCTTCAGCCTTTTTGGAAATGAAAAGCGGAAAATGTCCTACAGATAAACCCTCGTGTGGATATATATAATGGATTACCTTTAAGCTCAAAGTATATTGTAACATCCAATAAAAGAGCTTGAATCGAAATTGCGTTTTCTTGGCCACGTCTAACTTGGTTTAGTAACAATTTAATTTTCAATTTCGGTGCACATCGGCAACGAACATTCATTTAAATGCATAGTTATTATGAAATATGTACATATGTTAAACAAAAAATTGTTATATTATCGTGTTTGATCATAGGCTAAACTTTAACGCTGAAACGAAGGAGAACTTGGAAAACCAAGTCAGTATAAATCAATCGTTTTGAGCTTAAGAAAACTCTTTGATTTATATTGCCCTAAAAACTGACGATTGTGTGACAAACTTGTAACCATAATTTGGCCTTCCTTTCGATTTCACGGATAAACCGACCCTTAAATTCATTTTTCGCAGTACTAATTTTAAGGCGCTAAATAAACCTGGCATCTTTTTTAAAACTATCAGCTTCTTACCAGTTCATCATGAGAAACTTAAGCTTTTTGTTTATTCTGGGCAAGATTTCTTGACAATTCAAAAACATATTTTACAGGTTTCCCCTTTAGCTGTCTTCGTATTGGGAATCAACGGAGAATGCAGAACTTGATTTCCATTGATTTATCATCCTAGTTGTGGAATAGCCGCAGATTGCTACTTGAATGGCGATAACGGATATTTACTTGAACATCAGTCTTGCAAACGCGAAGAAAAAGGACTTCCACGTAGGTACAACCAATTTTAAAATGAAATTAGATGTTTCACAATCCTTCAGCCTTCTTGGAAATAAAAGGCGGAGAATGTCCTACAGATAAACCCGAGTGTGAATATATAAGGGACTAATTTTAAGCGGAAATTACATTGTAACATCCAATAAAAGAGCTTGACGCGAAGATGTGTTTTCTTTCTTTCCTTTCTTACTTGGTTTAGTAACAGTTTAATTTTTCGCATCAAATTACAAATTTTCCGCCTATAATACTGAACTGTAAATATTTTGCTCGCTAAAATATGTATTATATTGCGATTTTCCTACAGTCAATATCATTATGAGGGCCCCTGCAGTTATATTTATTCTTGGTAAGATTTTATGAACCCAATTGCATCCATTGCATGAATTACAAAGTTCTATTAATTTTTGCTATCTGCAGTTATTACGATAATAGATATCCAGGGTGGAAAAAGTAAGTGTGATGGACCTATTTCACGTGTCAAGAATCCGCGCTGTGCATTTGCTAAGGATTGTTACTTTAGTGGCATTAATATTTGGGACGTGGGGCAAGAAAAGTGTAAGCGTGAAGAACAAGGACTATCTGGTAGGTTTAGGGATATTATCTAAATAAAAAGCACCTAAATGTATTTATTCTTTCAGAATTTTACAAAGTAAAGATCGGGAAATGTCCCACAGGCAAACCTGATTGCAAAAGAGCCGCCTAAAAAAACAATCTTTCAAAAATGATAGACAAGAAATTGCTTCATTTTTCAGAGCTAAAAGTTTTAGAACGGAAATTTTTCCTGAAGTTAGTTTTTTAAACCATTATCGATTGATTTTTAGATTTAAGGGAAATAATAAATAATAAACCGTGGATGCAAAAAATAACAGTAAAAAAATGCAACAAAGTTTATTCATTAAAATCGTACATTTTTCGGGCCTGAGAAAAATATAAGAAGGATTAAGATATGATCAAAAATCACTTCTATATTAGCTTATCGACATTTCACTGTACTTGTTGCCAAAAAATCAGTTGTTTGTACTATGGGTCACATGCAAACGAACCTTGAACACACCCCCTCCACTCCCTAGGAGGTATTTCTTCCTCTTATTCGAAGCCACGTATATGCAGGCTTAATAATTAACCTGACTATTCATCCCAATTGAAGCTGACTAATCAGAAGATCTCTTTTGAATGACAGGTGCCCTCTATTTGTTTGCCTTTTCTTTTTTTGTTCCATAAATCCACCGAAGTTATATAATTTATTATGCTGTATTGCATGTGTTAGGCAACTAATATTGGTAATACGCACCTCGCACTTTCAGCAGCGCCCTCATTGAAGCAGCCATGTTATCTGTGTGTGGCGGTTGTGCGATAAAAACAGCTTTACTTAATTAAAACGCGTTTAATTAATGCGAAATCTGCCGAACAGAAGGTTACGCCGTGCGATCTGGCAACACTAGGCCGCCTACACGTTGGTGGTGGGAGCTTTGCGGGATTGCCACATAGTTTGAGTACTGGTTCACACTTAACAAAAACTATCGGATACTTGCTAACAAATAAAAAATTTTATTAGGTATTTAACTTAGCTATCCAATTGAATACTTTATTGATTATAAACTGACAAATATATATTTTTATAGATAATGTAAAAAAAAATCACATTATTATTTGTTAGTTAAAAACAAGTACTGTTAATAACAAAATCGAAAACTGTGACCGTTGTTTGACAACCCACATTCAATATAAAGAAACTCAATGTACTTTAACTGATCCTTTATTTTAAAAAATTTAAGAAAGGATAGTTCAAGCTATTTATAAACTACACAAAATATATTGCCTCTCGTTAGACTGATAACGTCTAAATACTGAGATGACTTATACATTATTAACTAGCACAATGTACACAAAATGCGCCTACAAAAATCAGATTTTTTTTTCTCTGATCTTCGATTCTCTTCGCGCGACGTTTTAAAAACTTGTCAAGGTCAAAAAACTGGATACAAAATATCCGTTTGTATTTTTAAGTTAATATTACGAGTGTGTCATTGCTTCTTGCTAAACGGAGGGCTGTGGTGGTGGGCTTCGGCTTCTTGAGCTCTATCACCTAATTAAAGAGATTCTCGTTGGTCAGAGGAAGATCTTCCAGCGGCGGATGATCGTGGACATCCGGCTCTTGGCCCTCCTGGTCCTGACCACGATTAAATGCATTCTCCTCGCCCTTTTTCAAGCGCTGGTACACCAAAATAGAGCGGCCTGTACGCGACTGGCGGTGCTGCAATAGAGAGGCGATATTAGGTGACTGAGCGCCCAGTGCCTGCGACCACTCGTCCACCAGAGCCTGCGAGCCCTCCAGCCGGATTACCTCTGCGTGCTCGATGCGATGGAGCAGCCGGTAGTTACGGAGAAACACGCTAATATTCTCGGCCAGTGGATCAAAAAGTACCACGTGCGTAGGCAGAGCGGTCAGTGGATGCACGGGTATATGGGAGTTGATCCAATGAACGGGGTCCTCATAGAAGCGATCGGCCTCGTCTTTGTACTGCTCTTTCTTCTCAAGATTCGGTTCGCAGGTCAGGAAGCGCATCGTTACGTTCTGATGAATGTGACTGGCCAAAAGATAACAATTAGATCAAATTCCAAATAGAATTTCGAGCAAAAATTCTCACCTGTAATAAGGCGTGGAATGGCAGGGCATCAGGAACAGAATATTGGCCTTGTGATCGCGCTCATCCCTGTACTCCTGGGCAATCTCCCTCAGCTTGGGCATCAGCTCGATGGGTCCCTTCTGGTGTACTGTGCTCAAGTACCAGGCGGGCAAGACGTTGCCCACCAGGATTACCAGCGCAGTAGTCCACAACATGGTGCGCGATGCTCTGTAACTCCACGTCGACAAGGCGTCCGTGATCACATACAAGCAGAGGGGCAGCAGCGGGGACACAAATCGGAACTCCTTGTGTTCCACGGCACTCAAAACCACCAGAGTCAGAAAGATGGTGATCAAAAGCTGCTTGCTGACATTATACTTCCGCGACTGCCTCATAGTTACTATTATTCCGAAGATGAACGGCAACGTGTTGATTCCCAGGACTGTGGGCAATCCCACGGTGAAGTACCAGTACCAAGGGTGGGAGCCATAGAAGCTGCCGATGTTGTTGAAAATGTTGTACTTGAGAAACTCGTACGGGGTCACTATAAGATGGCCATGCCAGTAGGTATCGATGGCTATGCCCAGGCCTGCGACCAGTAAGCTGAAACACAAATTATATTTATTGGGGTACGCCTAATGGTTATTTAAATGTACGCTCACCCGATGAGCACAAATCGCTTGAAAATCAGCTCCAGAACATTTTGGCGGCTTCTGCGCAAGTGGTATAGGGATAAAGGCAGCCAAATCACACCTGCAGTGGGTCTCAGGAAACAGCAGATGGCAGCTGGCCATAGGTAAGCAGTGGTCTCGGCATGCCAGGGGAAAAAGCTCAAGGCAATCGTGGTCAGGGAAGTCTCCAAAGTGTTGGCCAGAGTTCGCGAAGCCGTGTAGAACCAGAACCAGGGAACCAAGATTAAAAACAGCGCCCACTTTCGTTTGCCGGTCCACACAAAGAAGCGGTAATCGGAGTAGGCCGATAACACGGCCTGCAGAATCCTTGGCAGAATAACCAGCAGTTGAGCACTGTCCAATTGCAAGAGGGCCAGGATTTTATACAGTCCGGCAATCAACAGGGGATATATATAGCTGCGAATGCCCTGCACCCATTCCCATGTCAGGTAGCCATAACTGAAAAATAGTGATTGAAGAAACACAAGGTTTTAGTGAGGTTCCTGATTTTGGCATATTATAGATGTAAGCAATAAGTATTTTCATTATATTATGCTTTTATTCAAAATCAATTTAGTTAGGGGAAACGAGGAATATTAAGTACAGAACGTCAAACAAAATACTTCAACATCTGTGGAAACACAATGTTGTTTTATTTTTTATGAATGAAGTTAGTCATGTTGATGTCTTATAACACCAACGTAATATGTGAAACGTATGAACTGTCAAGTTTTAGTTAAAAATAAAGCAAAATCTAAATAGATAAAGAGCAAAAACTGAATTTGAACTTACCCAAAGGTCAGTTTGTGGGCCACTTCCAGGCTTTGCCAATATTCATCCGGAACGTAGTAGGTTTGCACTACGAAAACGGAGGCCAATCGTACGGCCAAAATAAATATAAAAACATAGATCAGCCTCATATCGCAACGCGTGGGTCCAAAAAATCTTCCAAAATTAGTCACCCGAAAAACCGGATGGGGATACCTAAACACCTGAAACTAAAGCGGATTAAATAGAAGTTTTAAGGCGACTTCTCAGACCGATCCTAACCTTAAATAGTTGCGTGTGTTAGGGAATTACCAACCGGTCGGATTTGGTAGAAATTAAGAAATTTCTTACCTACTAAATCGAATCACCTTTCGGCAAAAAAAAGGCGGCCTAAAAATAACGCGAAGCAGTGCAAAGCAAAATTAATAAAGTGTGACCGTAGTTGGCGTCGCAGGGTTGCCTAAAACTATCGATTTATATCGGTCAGTGGTGTATGGTGTTACAGATTTTAATTTAACGTTTAACATCCGAGTTTGAATAAATAGTAAGACATAGAAATTTAACTTACAGGAGCTTTACCAAATAAACGAATTGATTTGATTAAGAGGCTTAAATTCCGTTAAGACTCAATATTCAAACACAACTGCATTTTAAATTGTATCTGGAAAAGTGCATCATTTAATATTTCATTCTTTTTTTAGTAATCTTAATCTCCAAGCGCCCTTCTTAATGCTTACCTAATCCTACTTGCAAATGGGGTAAACCAAAAGCTGGAAAAATAAATTTAATGGATTCATCAAGTCGATCGCTAAAGCAAGTGTTCCAAAGTCAAATAGAGATAACAAACCGAGTTCTTGTTACCTTTTTGCATATTTATGGGCAACTTAACCAGGTAGGCAGAGAGGGTCTGTCGAGGTTGCGGGCCGGATCCAAATCAGATTGGGTAGGATGAGGATGGTTGGCTGTATTTGTCTGATTCCTCAAAAGATGTTTTTAAACCTTGATAACTATTCAACGATGAATTCTGGAATACCGCCGAAACCAAAGTTTTGGTCAAAATTGTTCGGAAAATACCTGATGCTGACGAACACTGTCGGCTCGGGAGTTCTGCTCCCCATTGGAGACGCAGTGGCCCAGCAGTACGAGCGAATGGGAGACAAGAAACCCTTTGATTTTTCCCGCTCGGGGTGCATGATGGTCACGGGATTGGTGATCGGCCCCGTCCAGCACGGATTCTACCTGCTGCTGGATAGGCTGCTCCCAGGAACGAACCGATCGGGAATCGTGCGAAAGCTCCTCGCCGACCAGCTGATTATGTCGCCCATCTATATATCAATGTTCTTTTACATCAGCGGCCTTCTGGAGGGGGGATCCATTCGAGAGTGCAACGACGAAATGTCCGAGAAGTTCCTCTACACTTGGCTGGCCGACATGTGCTTCTGGCCAGGTCTGCAGTACTTTAATTTCCGATACTTGAAGTCATTCTACCGCGTTGCTTTCGTCAATCTGGCCAACTGTGCGTATATCGTTCTGCTTTCCCATATAAAGCACAGCCAATCTGGCATTTGGCCATAAAATTATAGTGCCCCCATTATACTAAAATAAAAAACTGCATAAAAACTTTACTAATATAATTTACTTCAATCTAATAGACTTTTACTGAAAAATATAAATCATCAAAACTACGCACAATATATTTGAACAAATTTAAAAAACGATGAAACGAGACTTATCGATTTATCTACCACGAGATCGGAAATGGGGAGCCGAAAAGGGTGCCATCCCAATCAGCTGTTAGTTTAACGTCAAGACAATCGGGGATTTCGTAACGTCCAAAACACACGGGACTACAGTAGTCTCAAATAGCAGCGGCAGCTGATAATGTACGGCATTCGCTGCCTGCGCCAGTTGTATGTCCTCCGGACCCCGGCACGCCCACTGACTTGGAGGCTCCGTGGATCCCTGGACTCCCGGCGGGATTTCACGGTCTTGTGTCGGGTGAAGGCCTTCGAAATCGGTCCGCGAAAACGCCCGGGTCTTCGTTTGAGCCATGGCAAGGGGGGAGACGAAGGGCGGGGCCCTGGGCTTTCTACTCATGCGATGGACAAAAATTGCCTGGAGCAATATGTTCGGAAAGTACCTGCTCATCACGAACGTGGTGGGCTCTGGTCTTCTGATGGTGGTCGGCGACGTAATCGCCCAGGAATACGAGTACCGGAGGGGACTGCGGCACCAGGACCGCTTCGACACGGATCGCATGTTCAGGATGTTTGTGGCGGGCGCTCTACAGGGACCCCTCCATCACTACGTCTACAACTGGATGGACAGAGTGATGCCCGCCCGCACATTTCAGAACATCGTCAAGAAGATCCTGATAGACCAGCTGGTCATGTCGCCCGCCTGCATCCTCATTTTCTTCTATTCCATCTGCTATCTGGAGCGCCAAACACTGGAAGCCACCAACCAGGAGCTGATCAGTAAGTTCCCGTACGTCTACCTGCTCGACTGGATGACCTGGCCGGCGGCGCAGTATCTAAACTTTCGCTACCTGGACACCAAATACCGCGTGACCTTCGTCAATGTCTGCACGGCGGTGTATAATGTGCTTATGTCCTACATGAAGCACGATTTTGGAATCCATTTGCCTCTTGAAGAAGAATTGGGGGACCCCACCAAGATGTCCTTTGTGCTAACGAATTCCCCGACAAATTCAGAAGCCGAGAAGTCCGGTTAATTGTGATATTGATTAAAGTCGAAATTTCCAAGTCACTGTGAAAAGAGGTGTTATTATGCAAAAGGAAGAGGCTTTTAGAACAAATATAAATGTATGTATATCGTACAAAGGTGAACCTGAACGTTGTCTACGTTGTAATCCCTAGAGTAAATAAACTAAACCTTGTCATGACGAACATTAGACGCAACTAAACTTTAGGTAATTTAACAGCTTTTAACTTATAAGGTTCCAAAATGGACGTAAATGTTCAATCATGTATTTAAGTTTTACGCCAAGGCAGTAAATTGTGGCATTAGAAAAACTATAACATATCAAAATACGGTACCTCAACAAGAAATATTTCTGATGTGAAGCATAAACACCTAGTCTTTGTTAATAGTTTAAGATAAACTGCATCTTATATTTAAGGTTTAGTGGATTAAAGAAGCAATTCCAAGAAGTTAAAACGATATTTACACTGTAAGCTTATAGAAGCTATTAAACACTAAATACCCCGGTGGTCTTCCTTCTCACTTTATCACAATCGTCTCAATCGGTTGGCTGATGCCAAAGATGTGCTGGGCCAGCGTTAAATGCTCCTGGGTGATGAAATTCGCCAGCAATGTGATTACATTCTCGTTGCAACGGGCAATCTGCTGGCGAGTAATGGCCTTGAATTCGTCCCTAGCTCCTTTGTCCGCTCCACGGGTGCCAATTCTCCGCGACTGGGAACCAGCTGATCCACCCGTGGCGTTTGGTGTGCCACTGGAGGTAGGCGAGCTGGTCAACTCGAAGTTATCCTCCTGCTGGGAGTTCCAAATGTGCGACAGTTCCTCAATCAGATCAATGGCAATTATGTAGGTAGACAGCGTGCGCAGATTGAACGATTTGCGTTGCTTAATCATGCTGAAAATTTGTTGGGTGAGCAGCACATCGTTAAGGAGATTCAGTTGCTGGAGCACCAGTAGATCGCCAAGCAATCGATCGGGGCAGTTGGGTTCGTACACCTTTCGACTCAGCCGACTAATGATGGCTCCCACGCAATATTGAACCAAAGCCGATCGTGTGAGGGGCAGGAAAATCATGTGACGGTGGCCTTTGAGCGACATGTTGTCTAGAAGTTGACCCTGTGTAGCGGGCAGTTCGGAGAGGATTTTCAGGATGCACTGGAAGCCCTGGAGCTGTGGAAGAAGTTGATATACAGTTGCTCATTTAAATTTACATGTTACTTACTGTCATGCTTCCTTGCATCAGATTAAGACTAAGGATCTGAAGACTCTGCACCAAACTGCTCTGGGTGGTCATGTCGGCCATAAGTTTGTTGGCCTCATCGCGGTGCCCGAAGTATATGGCCAAGTCGAACAGGAACCTTGAGATCCAAGGTGCCAGAGGAAGAGCTAGCATAAGTTGACTAAAATCGCGCTGAAACTGATCCGTATTTAGCAACTGCCAGCACTGAGCGGCGTGCAAAAAGGCCTTAGACAACTCTGGGCTTATTGCGGTGGTCAGGGAGAACTTCGGGGGCTCCATGCTGGGCACTTCAGACCCATCGCTCTCTGGCGACCATTCCATAAATCCCTCCACCAAAACGTGGCTGACATCTGCATCCTCAATCCTCAGCTTGCAGTTCCGTATGTAACCGTGCAGAGAGTATATAAACAATGTGGTGGCGTAGAACAAAACCTGGGAACTGCCCGCAGGACTCCCGGAGAGTATGTCCACCAACTTTTCCCAGTAAACGTTCTGATTTACATGTTTACTGAAGGGTAAAAAGGGCTCCCAGCCCATCATCTGTCCGCAGATCATCAGTACCTTAAAAATATTCTTCCAGGCATCCGCCGTATCCGATTCGTCCATGATCTGTCGTAGGTAAAACTCCAAGGAACTGGTATATAACCTGCAGGCGAGATTTGGAGAGAGTTCCGGGGGTTTATTTTGAATCATGGGCAGCACCTCCTCCACCAAAATTCTTTGGTACAATTCCGAATCGGTTTTCATGCCCTCGGCCAGCATTTCTAGCAATCTGGGGGCCTGGGTAATGGCCGATTTAGGAAACTTGTTAAACATCAGTATGTAGATATAGACGCACTGCTCCAGATTATCGCCACAGTGGTTAATCGTGTGCATAAAGATATTGTGTTGAACTTCCGGTGTAAGGTGTTTGTACATCTTTACATAGAACTCCTGTTCTGGCGTATTTTCGTTTTCATTTCTGAGGGCGTTTGTTAGGGCATTGATTTCCTGCCACAGTTCCGTATGCTGATTCGGAAAGTTGGTAGCTCTGTAAAAGCAGAAGGTATTTAGAAACCGAATAAACATTAATTTACACACCTACATGACGCTGAAACACTTTGCCGCCTCCTCGTAATTTTTACCATCACGCTCCAACAAGTAAGCCTCATATTGCAAGTTGAAGGCATTGGGGTACAGGGTTTTGGCCGTGATGATCCAAGCCATCGCCGCACATGGATCGGATTTTCGGAGACGTTGCGCCTCCTTGACCATGTACAGCTCGTTTTCCTCGTTGTTTGGCATGTTTATTTCTTAATTTCTTTTTTTTGTCTTAACTTTTCTCGCAGTCAACAAAACATTTAGCCGGCAGTTAGTGGTCTGTTTACTAACACTGGAAACAAAACTCTTAACAGCTTGTGCCAAATAGCTAAAACTAAAATCAAGTTCCAATTCGTAATAAATGTTAATTCTATAAAATGTTTCTTAGCTCAGCAAAGATGTATAGTTTTTTTGTTGTGATAACTTGTTATTTGAAGACAGCAGTAATCTAGAAACTAGCTCCTAGGCTGCGCCATCGATAATTATAATATCGATAAGTGCAGTGTTGCGATGTAGTGTTGTTCAGCGGCCAAGTGCCAGCTGATTTTTCGCGAAAAAATTTTTATTCCTAAATATTAGTAATTGCTGTGGTTTTTCGCTAACAAAATCGAAAACTATTATATTAAATATAGATACAAATGTGGATGTGGTATCTTCCCGTGTTATGAGCGTGACTAAGTGCGTTTTCTAGGAAATATTTGCCGACGCTGCGTATTATTGTTTTTGTTGCGTGATTAATACATTGGTGGTTATTTGGAAATTTTGCAAAACATCTTGTAATTTAGATATACAGTGCCACATCTGCTGCAATTTAACAAATAGATAAAAAAGATAACATTGTGGTTCCCCATTTAAATTTCACTATAAATACCGGCGCGTAAACGCAGTATGCCCCATTTTCCAATTGTCATCATCAGCTCCTCGATAAAATAACAATGACAGTCCAAATAATAAGTTAATTCAAAACACTCCGCAAAATTTATACGTAAATAAAACAAAAAAATGTCAGAGGCAAACTCGGTAAAAGAGGGCCTTAAAACTGGCCTCTCGACAGCCGGTGAACAACACCAGCAAGATGAGCAACAAGTGGTTGCCACCACGGAAACCAAAACTCCAGATTTGGGTATGTCGATCCAAGCTAAAGATGTAATGTAAAATTAAATGTAAGAAATAAAATGACTAAAGTTAAGCACACCTTGAAGATATTGATAAATGGCTTGCTGTTCGCGATTTCCCCATTGTTTACTCGTAATCCTCCACTATTTATTAATGTCTTGGCACTTATCACAAGTTGGACACTGCCCTATAAATCATAGAAACCAACAGAAAAGTAAATATTAAACAAATAATTTAAGCAATATGCAAATAGCAATCACTCACACTGTAAAATTAGCTTAAAAATTTTATTTTATTTATTAAAGCCGTTTCTGTTACATTTATTCAAGCTATCATTTGTGTTAGGAATTATAATCTAAATTTATTCGCTCTGATTCTCTTGCTGATTTTTCGCGCCTTTTATTGATATGAATATTTTATTAAAAAAAACAGTTATTTTAAAAGTATTTTGGCCTTAGCTTTTCCAAATGTAATATTATGTTTAATTAAAATAAACCTCTCACTTTCACTTGATTTTTAACATGATTTTGTAGCACCAGCACCTTATTCAATGGCAGTGGGTCATAAACACTTTTACAGTGAAACTAATTTAAATAGCCTTTGAAAAGTATACACTCATTATTTTATTTATATGGATTTTGTTGGAATAAAATTCTTTAGACTTAAATTACACGATTAAATTAAATTAAACTAAAAAGCACGATGCAATTTATTTTCAATTTAAGTGTCACTAATGCAATTATGTTCTCTTTTCCGTGATTTGCGATTGCCTACAAGTGTGAATTTATCATTTTAATTTTTGTATTAGCACAAAGTAAACGCGAGTTTTAAGTTGATGTATGTGTTATATTTTCGTAGTGTAAAAATGTATTGTATATAACCACCACTTTGAGTTGTTGCATCCCAAACCGCGCACAGCAGGTTAGTTGCTGCATTTCTAAACCCTAAAAGTTCCACCTTAACCACAAGCACACAAAAATCGACTAATCATTTTTCGTGATTTTCTAAAAAAAAAACAACTTAAACAAAACCTCATTACAGTGCCGAAAAAGAATCGTCAGCGTTTAACAGAGGAGCAGAAAGGCAGCCTGGAGTCAGCGAATCCCTTGATCCTGGAGCATGCCAGCCTGGAATCAGTGCCACAGCATCTGGAGAAGCTCATGAAGCAGTACCAGGAAAATCGGAAAATGCCGGCTGCCGAATGGCTAACCCTTCTGATTTATTTGCTGGCCCTCGAGTGCGGATTTGTGGAGGAGGAGATTTATGCGCAGAAGAGGCACCTTTTGCAGCCGGTTCCATCTTTCAGCAGCTTCCACGCGCTGAACGTGCGGCTCCTCAGCGAACAGCCGGCCCATTATGAGGTGTGCTTCAACGACTCGGCGTACTCGATGCGACTGCGGACCCTGTTGGACAAACACGCCTCCGAGGAGGCTTCCCTGGTGGCCGCCCTTCAAACGCGGCTCATGGCCATCACCTTGGGGGATCAGCTCATGGTCACCCTGTCCCCAGCTCCGCCCTCGAAGCAACCTGGTTACAGCATCAGCCTGTCCATCGGCCGGTATGTCCTGAGCGTCCAGGCGAAGAACAAGCCCGTGTACCACCGCTTCCGAAAGCTGGACGAGCTCTCCTACCAACTCAAGCAGAACGTGTTCCAGCCCATGCGAGCCCAACAACTCATGCAGATGGAGAACAAGCTGCAGCCCTCGCTGCTGGGCCTTCCGAACGAGCTCTACCACGAGATCTTCAGGTACCTCGACAAGAGCCAGCTCAACGTGGTGGCCAAGGTCAACCGCCAGCTGCAGTTCTACAGCAAGGAAGCGGAACGCAAACGCTCCATTAAACCGACTTGATTTCAATGAAATTTATTAGATGATTGAATGTCAAAAAGGCACTAGTTGAAACATTTGCGAGCGAGAGCTCTCTGATATATTAAGAAACATATAAAATAGTCTTTAAATCCGTGGGTTATTTTGTAGATACAAGTTTTATACTTACATAGTTTTGTAATTCTTTGGCTTTGGTCTGGGCTCAATCAAGTTTCCTGAAATGAATGCAGTGTAAGCAACTCCTTTTTTCTATAAAATGTAATAAATTATCTTCTGATGATAGTTGACGAGTTTTATTTAATGGCTTCGAAGGATATCTAACATAGTTTTATTTAAGTTTGCCACAAAACTATAACCTTCTATAACTAGTGTCTGTAATAATTTTTTAATTTCCGATTTGTGCCTTGCTTTCATTACTTTTTTGGGTTGTAGCGGCATCGAGGATAATTGTGGACCCTCCAACGCCGTCGGCTGAGTCCTGTAGCTCTTATGACATTTTCGAGCCCCCTTCCACACCGCTGGATTGCATCAGCATCAAGAGCAGTGCCAGCAGCTACCTCTACGATCGTGATATTACAGGTGAGTCCGCATGTCCTTGCGATTCGCATGCTCCCCCTTGTCACCCCCTTTTCGGCGCAAAGAGGGGTACACGCCCCTAAACGAGTCGGCCCTCAACCACAGAAGTGCAGAATGCGAAACAAGCGGCTCCGGCAGCCGAAAACGCGCCGAGATTGTCGCATCCACAATCCCCAGTGTGCCCCAAAACCCAAACCCAATTCCTCACCTCGTCGGCTCCGAATCTCCAGCCTCCAACATCCAACCTCCCATGCCCACTTCGATTTTTTATGCGCACGCAAAATCAACAAAACCCACGCGGGCAAAACGGCACCCCTATAACCCCTATGAAAGCCACATCTCCGTACACTGCGAGGAAGTCATGAATAATTGACGAACTCTCTAAATAAATTATCAGGAATGTGGAGACTGCTTTACAATATTACCTAACATACTCTGATTAACAAATCCTGAAAGAATAAAACACAGAATTATATTATTATGTTATTACATCTAACATCCCCTAATATAGTTGTTAACTATTCCCCTGTAACATTTTCGCCCAGTGTAAACCCCTTGGCCTCTTTGCCTTTTTGGTTTTCCTGGCGGATGGCATCCACAATTCGGTTTTTCTCCCTCAACTGCGGGATGCTTGCTGCTCGGTGCTGGGCTCCTATTTCGTGTTTATATTACGATATCGACTTTCTCGAGCGGAGCCTTATCACTGGACTAAAAACAAACATTCGGTCGGAGAGGGAGCACAGCTCCCCAGCTTTCCCCTTGGAATCCGTATGTTTTCGGGTTCCCGTGGGTCCTGTCGAAATTATCTGGCTACAACTTTATCAAAATAACGAAAAACAGTGACAAATGCATAAATAAATTATGGCAAAGGCAAACAAAGCAAAACATATACGACTGGGCTGCGCTCTCGCAATTATTTTTAAACTCGAGTCGTGTCTGCTGAAAAGCTTCGGAGAACCGAGAGGAGCTTTCTTTCGAGCTGCTCTTGAAGAGTTGCTCTGCATTTCCCAGGAGCAGCTGTTTTCCCCAGCCCCGCCCCCGACTCTTGTCTCCCACAATCTGTTCGAATGGTTGGGGTGAATGAACCCGCAGATGTGGGCATCGCACAATGGTTTGGGTTTTTTTTAAAACATGTTTATTATATTTTCATAATTTGGGAAAATCATGTACATACTTCCATCAATTGTTGGTGTGGTGGGTCTAGTCACTTTTTACATTATGTGCAAAGAAAATTCGCCCGATTTTTTCTTAGTAGTGCATTCATAAATACTTTAAAACTGCTTGCAACCTTGAAGCCAATGTGATCCTGGTCACACTGTGCGCTCATCTGCGATGGTAAACTGTGCCAAACTTTTCATTCTGCTCCTCGTTTTAGTAGCTGTTGTTGCTTATCCTTCTCTTTCTCCACGCCTCCCTTGTGGGCGGGCTAATAACCGTAAACAGCAAAGAGGAATCAAAAGAGTTGGCAAAACATACGTTGCTCCTTTTCGTCCTTTTTCATTCCTTTGCGATGCAAGCTAAAGCAAGGGCCACTTTTCTAAATATTCCCTCTCTCTGTTACTCCTGAATACACTGAAAAAAATGGCAAATCCATTATGAAAAACTCTCTTTTAAGTAGAGTTCGGTGATAAGTGATGTTTCTTATTTATTTGCATATGGAAATATTATTTTAAAGCTATTAAATTACTTTTGCTTTTTGGTTTAATAGGTACAATATAGTAGTCCCATACTGGTAAAGTCAGCTAAAAGTACTCGATTGACCCTTTTGTTTGTTATCTGTGCTTTTCGCTCTCGCAGACTCCGCAAACTCTCTCCGACTTTCTCCCGCTTTCTCCCACTCTCTCGGCCGATTGCGCTTTTGTCGTTTCGCTCCTTGGGCAGCCAGCTTTTCCGCAGGATAACAAAGCTCGGCGCAATCAGTCGTC